GGAAAGTTAAACTATTGTGGTCGAGTAAGAGGATTATCAAAGACAGTTGGTTTAACATAATACTTTGGTTTTAGTTCACAAAGATCTTCGGGAAGAAGTGCATCAAGTGCTGATATTATAGCCAAAGTTTGAGAACAAGTTCGTCAAGAGATTTTGACCAGTGAAGAGGTTAATCAATACTTTAAAAATGAGTTAATGTCTAAGCTTCATGATGAGATGTGATCTTTGGTCTCTAGTTTGCAAATTGGGCTATTTCAAATAAAAGAACGTACATCCCAAGTTTGAAAATTAATCTCAACTTAATTTGCTTTGAGTTTCTTCAACACTTTTTTTGTTCAATTTCATTATTTTATTTCTATCATTTCAACTAGAATTCTCCCATCTGTGGAAGCACAAAAGGAAGTTTCAATCCACAAGTCCCATTGGCACTGCTTGACCCTAATCCCACACTAAATGATGGAAAACCTTGCGTTCTTTATTTGGATGTCCCAAATATGCGTGCTGTTGCTCACCCTCTTAAGTATACATAAGGATCTGAAATACATCATCAAAAAATTGAAGCGGATTTGGTCAAGGTAGCAGTCACAGATGTTCAACAAGGGGAGGCAGATGCAAACATGCCATTTCCCACTAATGAAGTGTTCAAATTAGGCCAGGCAAAAGGATACTTTATTTTATGGCCTGAAAGACTCATCGATGTCGAAATCCAAATGGCACAAAACAATTTACTATTTCATTATTTTTCTTTCGTTTTCTGCTTATAACACTTGTTTTTCTTATTTCTTTTATTAGGACTATGAAGAAGCTGCTAAATATTTGTGCTTGGCACAACTTTATAACATTTATGATTCTATTGACAAGGTCACTATAAAGATGCCTTTAGGGATTGTGGGACAGCAAAGGATGCATCATTTTGGACTAAATTAGGATGACATCAAGCAGTTTTTATCTATGGAACAACTAGACATTGCATGGATTCAGTTGGCAATAATGTGATTTTATTTTATGTTTTATTACTTCTGTGTGCTCATTTTTACCTTTTAATTAATTCTTGTCATTTCAATTTGATTGATAGATTCTTCCACAACCTATGGGCTTCTACGGGAAAGGGCAATATGTATGGATTTATGTGTCTAGTTGCTATTCAGCTGATGAACAACTCCTTAGATGAACGGATGAGATATGTTGATTATAGAATTGAAGAAACTAAATTTCCTTGTTCTTTTGCACCAATTATTGAAGAGTAAATAACTTATACATACGTATATATACACACACCCACATATATTTTAAAGAATTTATTGGTTTTTCTTTCTTTTTATATTTCAGTAATCATTGGTCATTATGTGTTACTTGTCCCATAGATAATGTCATCTACTGGTTTGATTCGTTGGGTCGTAAGCCAAGAGGCGAAACTAAATTTGTCTTCAACATGTAAGTTTTGTCATCATTTTCTTAGTTTCCTTATTTCATCGAACTATTTCAATGTCTGCTCATTTTCATTTGTTCATAGGTCTCTCAAGAAATATTATATACGGGGTGGGAAGCGTGAACGTAGAAATGGCAAGATCACTTGGCACAAACCGATAGTGAGTGTTTTTAACTTAAAATTTTTCATTAACAATTACTATATATATTCATTTTCGCTAATACACTTTTCATTTATTGTGTCATCGGCAACCAGGAAGTGCAGAGTGCAGATATTATATTACTCATTTCATGTATAAAATTATTGAGTCTAAATATACTAAAGATTTTGAGACAGTAATAATTATTTTAGTTATGTTATTTGATCTTTTCATTTGATTTGCTGTGTTTCTTTAATTCTTTTATACTAATAAATTTAAATTTTCTTATTTCTGAACTTACAAATTTCTGATGATGAATGGTCTTGCACTAATAAGGAAATTGGCGTTATTCGAGATCGTTTTAGTAGGACAATTTCTCCAAGAGTTTTATTTTCAGAATGATACATGAGGTTAAAAAGGCTTAGATATGTTAGGGACCTTTAGTGCTATTAAAGTTTTTTGTATTATGTGTTAGGGGATTCTTAAGATTTTATGATTAGATAAGTGAGGATATTATATGTTAAGATTTTATGTATATTGCTGATTTGCTGCTGTTGTTGTACTTTGTTTTAGTTATACATGCATTTTGAATTGCAGGGTAACAAAAACTGGCTATATTTGCAAATTTGTAAAATATTTTTTTATGAAAAAAAAAATGCATACTTGCAGTGGTCTTGGACAATCCTGGATTGGTCCTGTGAAACGAGTATAAGACACATAGTCGTATGTTCTGTGAGGAATAGACAAGCATATTGACCATATATTTGTTTGTTCCAAAACAGAAGAATATCTTATTGTTATCTACGTCTCCTCAGTCTATGTCCCCCTTTAAACAGATAAATATGAAGCTCTAGAACAGACGAAAATGGGTTTTTATTTTAGTAGTGTAGCAAATAGATTAGTCTTTTCCGCTAGTGCCCATCTTATTTAGGTCACTCTTGAAGAAAGATTTAACAAAACTGGTGGAGCAAAAATTTATTCTCTCCATCATAGTATTAATTTTGTGGTTCAAGGAAGCGTGTTTGTTGCCTCTTATTACCCAAAGCTCAACATTCTCTAGGATGAGTATGCCTCCATGGTTCCCATTCCAGATTGCCAATGTACTTCTTCCAAGGAATACTCCAAGATTGTTCAAGAACAATGACTATTTCAGTTCCTAATAGGGCTAAATGACAACTACTAGCAAGTTAAGAGTCAAATATTACTCATGAAGCCCCTTCCATCAACTAATAAAGCATACTCTATAGGAATGCAAGAAGAAACTCAGAGAGAATTGACATCTAATTCTGTGATACAACCATCTGACAGCTTCATAATGGCCACCAATTCCTCCCGAGGAGGCTGAGGACGTGGTAAAGGAGGTCGTGGAAGAGGGCGCTCTCAAGAAGAGTGTACCCATTGCCACCGAAAAGGTCACCAACGTGATAATTGTTACCACCTAACTGGTTTTCCTCCAAATTTTTCATCTGGCTTCAAGAGACAACAAGAGGATTAGGCCAATCAAATGACTACTAAAAGTACTACAAAAGTGACTCATGGTCAACCCTCATCTTCTTCTTCAAATTCATTTTTCACTCCTGCGTAGTATAAGCAAATTCTTGACTTGCTAAAATGAGACTTTGATCCTAATGAAGTGGTTGTGAGTATCCAGGCTACCACACCAGGTTTATATGATGTTTTAGACAATAGATATTAGATTCAGGTGCTAGTGGTCACATAGTTAATAGTTTAACGTATTTAGATAAAGCTCGACCATATATTGGACCCCCCAGATTTGTTCAAATACCTCATAGTCAAAGGATTAGAGTAACTCATATAGGAGAAGTTCAAATCACAAAACATGTTTCGCTTAAATGGAGTTTTATATGCTAAGGAATTCTATTACAACTTAATTATTGAAAGTAAAATTGCATTAGATAGTGGGATTGTCACTTCTTTCTCTCCTGACTTTTATGTGCTGCAAGACATGATGAGTGGAATAACGAAAGGGATTGGTAAAATTTCTAAAGGACTTTACTTGCTTAAGAGGAAAACTATTTCAGGACTTGTGATTGCTCCTGGTAAAAATCCTAACATCAAAAATTCTCTCTAGCACTATAGATTAGGACACGCACTTTTAAACACTGAGATATTTGCCCGATGTAAATTCTGATATGAAAGGTGTTATTCCTAGTACTAGAAATAATAAATGTGAAGTTTGTATTCACGTGAAACATCCACACTTACTCTTTCCTTTGAGTAATACTATTACTAACTCTTGTTTTGAATTATCACATATGGATGTGTGGGGGTCCTATATATGACCCCCCACTCATTAGGGATTTAAATACTTTCTGACTATTGTAGATGATTTTTCTAAAGGGATTTAGATTTTCTTGATGCATTTAAAGTTAAAGTTGTGAAATTTATAAATATTTTCTTTGCCTGTGTCAAAAATCATTTTAGCGAGAAAATTAAAACCATAAGAATAGACAATGGGACTGAATTCATTAATCAAGACATGCTTGCTTTATTAGAAACCAAAGGTATTGTTCATCAATAGTTTTGTCCTTCCACTCCTCAACAAAATGGGGTGGTGGAAAGGAAGCATAGGCATTTGTTGGAATTAGCCAGGGGTAATATGTTTCGTTCTGCCATACCAATTAAATTTTAGGGTGAGGCAATTAGGACTGCAGCCTATCTCATAAATAGAACTCCCTCTAGAAGGCTTGGTTATTCTACCCCATATAAAATGCTTTATCGAATACCCCCTAATCTAAGGCATTTACAAGTATTTGGTTGCCGTGCTTTTATTGTTAACCTCGCATACACTAATAAATTTTAGCATAGAGCTGTCCCTTGCATCTTTTTGGGATATCCTACCACACAAAAGGGATATATACTATATCATATTCAAAATAAATCCTTGATAACTAGCAAACATGTCACTTTTTTAGAAGACAAATTTCCCTTTAAAGATGGTGAAAATTTTCACCAATGGGGATGAACTAACACATAAGAAACCCATTCATTCTAAAACCAGATAGTAAACCAATATCCCTTTTTGATAGAGAGGAACAATCCTTTGTAGAGAATAGTGATAGAAACCACCAAATAGACACTAATGATGAGCAACCTCTTATCCCCAGTCAGTAAAATTTTAGACCTACTAGGAGCCGACAACCTCTTGCTTGGGTTGGTGATTATAAATGTGAACAACCACCTTCCTTTAATCATGATAATCCAATACAGCAACAAAATGATTTGCAGAATAATGATAGTTTCCTTGATTCTATAAATTATGTTGATTTATCTTCCTCTTATCAGTATTTTCTTTCCGCTATTGATGAAGAAATTGAACCAGACTATTATGAGGAAGCTATTAAGGACCCTAGATGGGTTAAAGCTATGCAAGATGAAATAACTACTTTGGAAGCCAATAAAACTTAGACAATGGTGACTCTACCCAAGGGAAAGAAACCTATAGGATGTAAGTGGGTATTTAAAATTAATATAAAACTAATGGAAGTATAGACAAATTTAAAGCAAGATTAGTAGCAAAAGGGTACAATTAGAAGGAAGGAATATTCTTCTATGAAACCTTTTCACTTGTGGTTAAGATTGTGACAATTAGAATTATTCTCACCATGGTTGCTGTTAATAACTGGATTATATGTCAAATGGATGTAGATAATGTGTTTTTACAGGGAAACTTACATGAATAGGTGTACATGACTATTCCTTATGGTTATATGAAAAAAGGGGAGAAGGAATTCAAAGTATGTAAGTTAGAAAAATCACTGTATGGGCTTAAAATGCCTCTAGATAGTGGAATGAAAAATTAATTGAGTCTTTGATAAAGGATGGATTTCATCAAAGCAAATATGACTATGCATTATTTCATAAACAAATTGGTCAAGATACAGTTTATATTCTTGCTTATGTTGATGATCTGTTAATCATAGGGAATAATCCTCAAGCTATTAATAATGTAAAGAACTATTTACATAATGAGTTTAAAATCAAAGATCTTGGAATCCTAAAATACTTCTTTGGTCTGGAAGTTTTGAGGACAAAACATGGCACACTTCTTAACCAGAGAAAATATGCAATAGAATTAATTGATTAAACAGGTTTAGATGAGGCTGATGAAGCATTGACTTCCATAGAACAGAATCTAAAACTTACAGCAGAAGAAACAGAGGAAGATCCTTTCCTTCAAGAGGCTGGAACATATAGGAGATTGATTGGTAAGCTGCTATACCTAACTCTAACTAGACCTGACATTTCCTTTGTTGTGCAGGTGTTGAGCCAGTTTATGCAAACACCAAAGGAATCACATATGAAGGCTGCTTTGAGGCTAGTTAAGTATGTCAAGGATCGTCTAGGCTATGGAGTATTTCTGTCAGCAACTAGTCTAATACATCTCGAATGTTTTTGTGACTCTGATCATGGAGGATGTTCATATACAAGAAGATCTGTCACCGGTTTTTTGGTCAAGTTGGGAGGATCTCTTATATATTGGAAGTCTAAGAAACAAAACATTGTTTCCAGGTCATCAACTGAAGTCGAATACAGAGCATTGGCTATGGCAACATCTGAGCTCACATAGATAGTGGGATTACTCAAGGAATTAGGGATGCTTAACATTGAGCCTATCAAGTTGTATTGGGACAGCAAGCTCCCATTCACATCCCATTGAATCCCTTTTTCTATTAGCATACTAGGCATATAGAAATTGATTGCCACTTTGCAAGAGAGAAGCTCATGAAAGGGATGATTGTTTTTCAACATGTTAGATCATCACAGTAGCTTGCAGATATCCTAACGAAAGGATTAGGAGGACCTCAACACAACTATATTCTTAGCAAGTTAGGTACTCACAAGTATAGAGTTTCTACCTTGAGGCGGAGTATTATAATCAGACAGTTAGTGAGGCACATGTTGTAATTAGATGGTTAGCAAGGCCCACTATTATAGGCCCATTATTGTATCCCATCGGTGCATATATAATGGCACCAAGACTCTTGTTGTAATTTGGCTTAATTTATTCAGTAGTAATCAGATATATTATTCAGTTATCTTGAGGCCCACTGGTTAACACCTTTCATCTATTAGTCCACGGCTAGCTAGTACCTCATTAATGGTTAGTATCCTCCTAATTTTTCTTTCTCTTGTCATGGCTATTTGCTTGTATTTGTTGCTTCATGTAAATTATGTGTGTGATGATTTTTGGAATTAGAATTGTTCTATGTGTATATATATTATGCTAGTTTTCATGCATGTTTTAGTGTGTGTATACATAATTAAATATGTGGTGTAAGTAATGTGCTTACCTTGTTGGTGACCTAAAAAAGCTTTAATATTAGTTATTATATCCTTATTTGAAACACAATACGTTTTTCCTTTCTTTGAAAATGAATAAACTGATTTTGAATTCTCATCCCAAGAAGATGATGGTCACCAAGGGTACTCGTACTCCCTTGAACAACCTATCTATACCCTACGACAAAATCCATCTTCTTTTGGTTCTCTTTTTTCTCAGCCAGAACACGATAATGCCATCCCCAAGCCAAATGTCAAAATCCATATCCTTCCAGGAAAATATGAAAAACCAATTCTTGTTATTGGTTTCATTAATACTGGATCTTGCAAAACTATTATGAACACTGATATTCTTCCTTCTGAAGAATGGATTCCTTGCGATCAATATTTTGTCACTACAAATTCAAATCTATTCAAGATTGAATGGATTACAAGAAGGAAGATTGGTGTCCAATTCTTTCCAAGATGTGTCGTATAGATTAAAGTCCTTGGAAGTGATCTACCTAGGAAAGATATCCTTATCAGATTTGATACTTATTATCATACTAAGAATCTTCAGGTATTGTATAAAAGAATTAGATATAAAAAAATTTTTAGTGCATATACTAAAATTCTTAATTTGTTTGAAATCCTACAAGCACCACTAGGATATGAAGGCATTCAGGATTATCTTCTTAAGTTTTGTGCTGATAGTCATCAACAATTTTCTCATCTATTTCCATTATGAAAAAATCAAGAGTTTTTCATCGAACCCTCCTTCAAGAAGAATAAAGATACTAATCCCATAAAAGCTTCTCATCCAAGAATGAATCCAGAAGACCTCAAACTTGCCAAAGAAGAATGTTCTGTACTTCTCAAACGAGGTCTTATTGAGCCAAATCAACTACTCAAAATTGATATGGCCTTTTTATTATGTTTTAATTACCCTAAAAGAATAAAAAAAGAAACAAGAAAACTTTAAGAAAAAGTAAATTCTTTAAAAGGTGGACTTGATCTATAATAAAAAGTTAGGGCCTACGTACTCTTTAGAGGAATTAAAGCCCACGTAGCTCAGGGGTAAAAATGCATGTCACGTGGTTGGTATTTTTTTAGAAAATAATTATTCAATTAAAAAGTCTTTTGTGGGTTGGTATTTTTTAATATATGAAAATAATTTTTGTATTTTTATTTAGAAAATATTTTTTTGAAAGAAATTTTAGATTACCTTCCCTACGAAGTTTCCCATAACATCACATGGGAGAATAATCGTTTGAGCCTATGGAGATTCTAAAATCCTCACACAGCTCTGAAAAACAATTTTAGAATATATATATATACACATATTTGAAAATGACTTTTTATTTTATTATTCATTTATAAACATGGTGTCAAAATTATTTTCTCTCTTTTTATTTCAAAAAGAAAACTTGCATAACCATATTAGTATTCCTATAGAGACTCCCATAGTCTCACATGATTTATCAATGAATCTAAATACTAGCAGAGGTTCTAAAAACCTCATACGGTATAGATTTAAAAATATAAGCGCTTTCAAAAATAGAGAGAAAGAATGTCCAAAAATATTTTTATCATGAAATTCAAGTTAAACACAGTATAATTCATACATGATGTTCCACTTATCAATTGGCTAAAAATAGGAGAGAAGACGTTATATGATAAACCAATAATAAAAAAACTATATACACATGTAAGCAAAATGACATGGACAAAAATAAAATAACATAAAAATAAAAAAAGGAAGAAAGTAAGTATCAAAGTAAGTATATATGGAGGGATAATAGATAAAAGCACATTTCAAACAAATCAAAAAGAAGGGGAATAGTGAGAATAAACTCAAATCATATTTGATTCAACCCTCTAGCCATTAATGTTCAAACTCACAAATATGATAATAATCACAAAAGCATATGCTTTCTTTGGGTAGAACAAAGAAGAAGATAGACAATGGATTTTCCTCGATTTAGGCCTCCTCTCTCTTTCATCAAGCCATGTTATTGCCATAAAATAAAGGGAAAATTAATTTGGAGGTCCTTGTAGTTTGCATCAATTTTGAATCAGGTCCTTAAACTTTTTTTCCTTTTTATTAGATCCTTTAACTTTCTAATATTAATACCGGTACTCCTTACCGTTAAATGTGAACAAACACTGTTAAAAATTTCGTTACATCTCCTTCCCTACCGTGTTCTCCTGAGTCCTGACCTCACCGTCCCTCCTTACCTTTTTGACCAAGTCCTATCTCCTAGGAAGGAAGAAGGCTCATGGCTCTGACGATGCGAGTCCAAGCACAAAATCATTCATCAAACTTCTGAAAACCTCCTATTCCACTTATTCATCTGATATATTTGTCTTGTAGGAACCCAGGGCCTTTATCATTCCTCCATTGCTCTGATCGTGTAGTCTTGCTTCTTTAGATCATCACTTTGCCGTGTTATTTTGCTCCCCCACGCTACTGCTAAATGACTTTTAGAAGGGTCATAGCACAGCTCCTACTCTGTTCCCCAGGCTTCTTAACAGCCATCTCTCTATTATCTTCTCCACTCCCTTTGTTTCTTGCTCCTTCAATCACTCCCTTTGATTCTGTTCCCATTTTTTTCTCAGGTGTTATTATCACTGTCCTCCACCTTATTACTAATTAAAGACTGGTTCTCTTTTTTCTAAGAGTTTTTCTTGATTCAAGAGTTAAATCGAATGCTCCTCTCGCTCTTGAAAATCCTATGAACTTTTTTCCTTCGATGCAATTTTAATTGGTAGATGCATTCGATTTTTTTTAGTAGAACATTCGATTTATTTGCTCCGCTGAGGAGTTCGGCGCATGTATGCTGAATCTTATGGGTCAATTGATTGACAATCTATTTCTTAGGAAATCTTGCGGCATTGGAGAAATTTCAAGGAGAGGACAAGATGTGAAGGATGATGAGAAAGGGAGAACGTTGCGTGAGGAGATGAGATAACAGTGTTTATTTTTGCTTAACAGTTTCTGGTTAAAAAAAAAATCACTTAACAGTAAGGGCTAACGATTTTAACAGTAGAAAGGTAAAGGATCTAATAAAAAAAGAAAAAAAGCTTGAGGACTTGATTCAAAACTAATGTAAACTATAAGGACTTTTAAATTAGTTTTCCCTAAAATAAAATGATACAAAAACTTTCTACCTTACCTCTTTTTTCACCAGAATTTTTTTTCCTTCAACCTTCTATTTTTAGGCTCCACTTAGGGTTTTCAAATTTTTCTTTAATTTCTGTTTTTTTAATTTTCTTCAATTATAGCTCATAATAAAACTTCCTATTCAAGCAGCAAATCATCATCAAATTGTGATTTTTTATTTTAATTTTTTTTATAATTTTCACAATTATGACTCCGGAAGATATTTCTAAACTGAGCAGTAAATCATCTTAAATGATGAATTTTGATTCTTGATTTTTGAATTTTCTTATTTTCTTATTTTTAAAGACTCCACCCTGTATTTCCGAATTTGGAGGTCAATTGGCTTTTAATTCTTATCTTTTATTTTATTGCCATTTATTGTAAGAGGGATATTCTTATTTAATTTTTCTTTTTTTGATTTGTCACATGGTGGATTTCTCAAACTTAGTTTCTAAGAAAGAATCAAGGAGGATATCAATCTTTCATTATTCATTTATTTATTTTTCTATTTCATTTACATTTAATATTTTTTGTGCGGTTCGGACAAAATTTTGTGTTCACAATTTATAATATAAAATAACAAGTATATAATTGAAAATAATAAGTTTGTGAAATAGTTGGGAATAACAAGTTGAGTTTGGGGATTTGACAAGTTTATAATAGAAAATAACAAGTATATAGATGGAAATAACAAGTCTGTGAAGTAGTTGGGAATAACAAATTGAATATAAGAATTTGACAAGTTTATAACAGAAAATAACAAGTTTATAATTAGAAATAATAAGTTTGTAAAGTAGTTGGAAATAACAAGTTGAGTATAAAAGATTTGACAAGTTTATAATTAGAAATAATAAATTCATGTTATACGTTATTTGGTTGTATTGATTTAAAAAACTTAAACTGTTGGGGTGATGTTGTAATATAAAAAGTGTCCTTGTTAGATTAATTGAGTGTTAAATTTGTTGTGCATTATGAAGTATCAGCTTTTGGAGTAAGATCTTATGTGGCTGTTGGTCAACAATGATGAGAACAAATGCCATGGGCATGTGTTGAAGCTTATTCCATAGCTAGACAAGGGAAAAGCCAGAATAGGAGAATGGGAATAAATTCTCCATAATGTTACTATAATTAAGATATGTTTAACATATTTTACTTTGTAATAACAATTAGTTATCACATTTATAGATTGTTATTAACAATTATGTATTGCTGAAATGACGTATGCCTAATTTATTACCCAGATTTTCAATGTTTCATTTTGAATTAATATTATTTTCATATTTGACTGGTCAATGACAAGTTTAGTAAGTGGAAAAACAAGTTTGAATATGAAATTACAAGTCTAACAAGTGAAATTACAAGTATGGATGTGAAAATTACAAGTGTAGTATATAAATAACAAGTCTGGATATAAAAATTACAAGTGTAGTTTGTTAAATAACAAGTCTGGATATAAAAATTAAAATAGAAAGCTTCTAAGCCTTAACATGCACCCAAATTAATTTTTCAGTAAGAACCACGACTCATTAAGATGGCTTATGATGAAAGATCCTATTAATAGATACTCCTTCGGTCCTAAATATAGGACCCATTTTATAGTGTAAATTACACTATAAAATTGGTCCTATATTTAGGACTGGAGGGAGTATTATATATCAAGTAGAAGAATTTTTATTTTCGATGAAATACTTAACATTCAACAACTAATTTTTGTGTTACTTTACTTTAATGCAAAAGACATGTGAAATCTGAAAACATAGAATAGTAGGGGATGACGACTAAACCTAAAGGCTAAAAGCATATATCTAGACTTATGAATAGATATATTCAGACTCGTTATTATACTAAGTAAACTATAATTTTCATATCTAGAGTTCCAGAGATGTTATTTTATTTACTAGACTATAACTTTCATATCTAGACTTGTTATCACTACTCTTGTAATTTTTATATGCATACTTGTTATTTAACATACTGTATTTGTAATTTTTATATTCAAACTTGTTATTTAACATACAATACTTATAATTTTCATATCTAGATTTGTTATTTAACTAACTAAACTCATAATTTTCATATCCAGACTAGGAATTTTATTTACTAAACTTATAATTTTCATATGCATACTTGTTATTTCACTTACTCGATTTGTAATTTTCATATATGCACTTGTTATTCAATTAATTAAACTTGTAATTTAAATATATACATCTAGAAATAATGTCAATTCAAAGTGAAATATTGAAATATGAGTGACAAATTAGATATATATTATTTTAACAATACATAATTGTCATTAACAATTCATATCTGTGCCGAGTAATTGTTAGTGCAAAGTGAAATATATTAAACTTATTTTAAATGCGGAAACAATATGTACAATTTATCCTCATTTTCTCATTTCATTATCGATAAAGATTTCCTCCTTCTTTTGGCTTTTTGTCTCTTGTTTAGCAGTGCAATAAGCTTCAACGCATTTTCACAACATTCATACTCATCATGGTTGACCAACTACTACATTAGATCTCATCGAAAAGCTAACATTTCACCCTGCAAACAAATTCAATACTCAATTAATCCAACATAAACTTACTATTTCCAATTATAAACCTTTCGAGTCCTTATAGTCAACTTGTTATTTTCAACTACTTCACAAACTTGTTATTTCTGGCTATAAACGTGTTATTTTCAATTATAAATTTGTCAAATCTTCAAACTTAGTTTGTAATTCTCAACTTCTTGATAAACTTGATATTTCCAGTTATATACTTGTTATTTCTTGTCATAAACTTGTCAATTTCTCATACTCAACTTGTTATTCCCAACTATTTAACAAAGTTAATATTTCCATTGCTAAACATGTTAAATCTCCATAGTGATCTTGTTATTTACTAGAAAACAAACGCCTACTTTCTCAATATTTCACCCAACATTTTCATTATTCCCCTCGCCAAAACTCAATGTGCATTTAGATTGAAAACACATGTAAATGTCAATATCTTCACAAAGTATCTTTGAAATATGAGTAATTTGAGCAAAATAAACCCCACAAAAAGAACCAAAATTAAATAAAAAGGCAAAAAACTTGAACTCAAACCAACAACCACAAAGTTAAAGTTAAACTTGCACAGTTTCCGTAAACTTAAAAATGAAAAGCATGTCATATAAACTCAAAAGTACAGGCAGCAAAGTTTCCCCCCCCCCCCCATTTCTTGAGCCCCCCATAACATCCACTCAAAGCTCTTAAATAGTAATAGAGGCAGAACCGAGACCAAATTCTCCAACAACCAGAATAACCGTAACAAATGCTTAAATTAGATTATCATATAGATGACAAACGATACCTACACCAAAAAATGAAAACAAAATGATTGAAGGCGATCTATTAAAATTCTCTTGAACAAAATCCTGCATAGATAATAATAATTTGAAGCAATCCATGACATCTGAAGCAAATTTTCAGCTACCAAAGATATAATAACAAATTTACTTGAAGAAAATAAATATAACTCAATTTAACCATCCATTATCCATGCGAAAAGCATCTAATATAGATATTATAAAAAAAATCATCCTTTCATCATTAACTATCAATTCATATACTCAATGTAAAATAAAAGTCATCCATGAGACAATATAAAATTAACTATATAAATCAATTAATTTTCCTGCATCCAGCAACTACAAATCTGTGATTTGAATAATAAAACAATAAAAATACATGAAGCAATCCAAGTTGAGCCTCATTTGTCGTGTTCTACGGAGTTCTTTAATCAACTGCTCTCACCCACAATAGAACGGTTCCATCAGCAATGCCAAAACTAATCCAATTTTTCAAGGACAGCTATTTTTTATTGCTTAAAGAAGCATGAAATACAAGAAGAATGAGTTGCTTAATCAACCATTCATTCCATTCATTCTCATCAAACCAGTAATTAGCAATCATTTGTGTCTTATGGCGTCAAATTGAACAAGGAATGGGGAAGTAGGAATTGGAAGCATTGGGGAAGATGAAGAAACTTACTGAGGAGTATGGCTAGCAATGTTGTAACTTGCAATTTGTGATGGGGAGGCGATCGTTGACGTCAAGCAAGAGGAGCCACTGTTTAGACTCGGTGAATCTGTGATGGAGGTGAAGTGAATAATTCTGGGGCCAGAGTTTTGGAGGAAGTGAGAAACTGACAAGTCTGAGAGAGTAAGAGACAATAAAATTAATAAAAAAAAAGTTTCCCAACCAAGCCTGGATCATCCGACGCCCCAAAGGGTTTTCTCACATCGTTGCTTGCTAGGATTCGGCCGCAAAAAGAAAAATAAAGGGGTGCTTAGATGAAAACTAAACCATGGTATCAGAAGTATTTTTACGGTTTACAAAGTAAATATGTGGAGGAGTTTGCCTCGTTTTACAGAAAAGCACTTCTGAGAAGCACCTCTGAGGATTGCCAAATATTCCCTAAGATATCTCTGTCTCTTGCTTTACACTGAAAACCCCTTTATTTACTACGCCGGTCTTGCCTCTTTTATTTTTAAAATACAGAATTTTAGACTTGATTTTATTATTATAAGCTCAATTTAATATCTGTTCCCTTCAAGCAATTTTTTTAATTTTGTTATTTTAAGAGTTTTTTATTGACGATTTTTGCTTTTTAAAACTATCGGTGTGGCTTCGATTTAAGAAAAAACTCTGATGGCCCAAAGAGTACTCTCAATTTAAAAAACTTGGTGCCCCGGTCGTTCCGTATTAATCATCTCCTTTTTCCCGCGAATGTACGGACGACCCAACCGATTCCGCCCTCGCCGCGGCGGCGGCGGCAACCCTCCACAGCCGGCGCCGCCACCTGCAAACGGTGGCGTTAACTTCCAAAACCCTAATATCTTCTGCCAAACTGTCCCAACTTACCCAGCTCACACTCACAACCCTAACATTTTCTCCCAAACAGTCCCAACTTACTCACCTCAACCTCAGGTTCAAAACCATGGTTTCCACCTTCATAACCCTATTTGGCCTTTCCAGCAAAACCCTGCTTTGCCTGTTGAAAACGTTGTTGGTTTTCCTCCCCAGCAGTTGCCCTCCAGTTCGGTCCAAACCCCAAGTTCTTCTGTGAATCCTAAAGAACTTATGGAGAAGGTTGACCGTGCTGTTGTTAAGGCTTGTGATGATCTTCTCAAGGCTGGAGAGTCTGTCTCCTCTTGGAAGGTGTCTCAGAAAGCATTGCTGATGCTCCAAGTTGATTCATGGACAACCTTGGGGATTAAAATGCAGCAAGTTTCGTCTCTTCACCGCTTACTGATGATTGAAGGGAAGGTATAATAATTACTTTCACCTCACTATTTAGGTTTTGAAATATTGTAAAGCCTTTTTATAAGCAAGTTACTGTTTGCTTAAAACAACATTAACTTTGACATTGAACCCACTGAAACTGGAAGCCATTTTGCTGACTCCTAATGCTCTAAATCTAATTATACCTACCACTAGATAAGTCTTCTAGAATATTGGAAGATCAGTCATTGGAAATAGGCATGAGCAAAACCAACATTATAGGTTTTCCAACCTTGCACTAACTTGTGACCTTGATTAGCAGATTTATTTAGTGAGGTTTGCCCTGGTCAAACCTCCCTATTCATGTTACAATTTAAATTGTTTTAGACTTGGACAGCATGCAATATCAAAAAAATTCACATTTTTGTGAGATATGATTTTTGTCCATTTCTGATTGTTAACGGTGTGGAAAATTAACTTCTGATAAGATGATTTTTTGCCAGTGCGCTCAATTGCTGTTGATTTATGCAATGAGAAATTGATTTTCTGATGTCTTTTATTTGCTATAGGTAAATGCATTTATCCATTGCTTTGTTGGTGTTCAAAGAATCACTTCATTATATGATTTGGAAGCGGCAATTTGCAAGCATGAGGGTGTTGATGATTTTGAAGCACTTGGGTTGGGACCATTTTTACAGCATCCTCTGGTGATGCATTATTTCTCAGTTCCTTCCCTTGTTACTGAGGTGTTTAAGATAACTAACGAGGAGGTAGTATGCTTCCTTATTGAGTTATTAGATGCTTCTAAAAATAAAGAAATCAGAGTTGAAGAATTATTGGATTTTATTGCCAAGAAGAAATCTGTCAAATCCAAGGAATTGCTTGGAATTCGAGTTCAGAACTTGGGGTATGTTGTCATATTTGTGCATTGTAATAAAACACATTGTATACTATTGTAGAAAGTTGAAGTTGTTTGCAACTATGACAAGCTTTCTTATTAAAGTTTTTGGCAGAAGAGAGAAAATTTGGTTTTAAATTAATAAGCTTTTTTTTTTTTTGGGGGGGGGGGGTACCTTCAAGTGAACAAATTCAATTGGGAACATGGATGATGTCTGATTTAGGCACTGTTTAGTGTGCAGGGCTGTGCCTGTGTACAGAGTGGGACAGTGGGGTTGAGGAGGGATATTGTCTTTGAGTTTCTTGAAGAAAATCTGGAAAGCTTTCTTTCATTTTTAACTGCACTCGTGATTTCTCCAGAAGCCTCTAGATTCAATTTATTTTGTTTTCATTACTTGTACTCTGCTTTTAGCAGTTGGATGAACTTGGTTCTGTTACGATCTAGTTTTAAACATGAAATAACAGCATCTGTTCATGATTAAGAGCAGGGTCCCCCGCACCCACCCCAAAAAAAAAAAAAAAAAGGCTAGATCCCTTGTTTTGGCAAATGCTTTTCCCTTAATTGTTCTCCTTGAATTCTTGTTGAGTTATGGGCGATTTCTTTATCCCAGATTGTTATAAAGCTTTACTTTCTTTTAACACTTGGTTAATTAAAAAATTTATCCCCTTCTTTAAAATTGTGGCTGAAGGCATTCAATTTTCTTACACCTTTTGGCTCCAAAGTCAAATTTCTTATAGTCCATATTGGAATGCAGTACGTGTATTGCCCATAGAGGCAGAAGATAAGTGTTCTTATTTTCAGGATGTTTGTACTTTTTCTCCGTTTTATCCATAAAAGAGGCAATTATACCAGGATAGGCTTTCTGATCTAAACTGCTCATTTTTATTATCATAGTATGTATATCTCTGCCATACGGGAAGCTAGGAATTCAGAGCAATCCACCTTGAAAAAATGCTTGAAGACATTAAGATTGAAAAGCACAGGCAGGAAGAAGCGTCCACTTTTTTCCTCTCAGAAGAAGCAACTAGATGAACGTTTCAGTACCATTTCTCAGCGTGTCGAGACATTTTCTTCAGCAGAAAAGGTTTTTAGTGGCACCCACATAAGATTTACATCTAGCTCAGAGGATGACGATAGTGATGGTTCTTTAGATGAAGGTCGAAATAATAATGCTATTGTGGGCAGTCAGTTAAATTCATCATCATCACAATTTGGAAAAGATGCAGACAGAGTTAGTAGCTGCCCTTACCCATCTGCTACTGAGGAGATGAAACGGCTTGGTTTGCAAGGTGATAGGCCAGGACATTCTCCTGTTAATGCCAACCTTGGAAAGGGAGTTAATGAGACACCCAAAAAGAAAAGAAAATATGAAAATGTGTCCAGTACAAAATCTGCTCCTTCTAAGTTGCTCAAGAGACAAAAGAGAGAAGTTGATGCACTTTCACTGGATACTGAGGACAACCCCGAGGTGGAGAGCAGCAATAGTGGCAACCTTTCAATTACTGATGAATCTTTGCAGATGTTTGTCACAACGTGGAAGGAAGCATGTTGGGGGCAAGATGTCACTCAGGTAGACTTATATCTTGGTAATCTTGAAAAGTGTATTCTCTGTAGCTTTGTGATGCCCTGGATGTAAAAGTACCTTGTTTTTGAACATTTCTTATACCCTTCACTATTTTCTTACACCTAAATTTTTACTTTATTAATGTGTTCCAGGGGTGCTAGATTAGTATATTAGATTGTCAATATGGATTTTACGTCTTCCCTGAATGAAAAGTAAAGGTCAGGTTGAAGAGATAGGAAAATCAATGATGAAAGTTTACTTTGTTGGTGGATATGGTTAATTTTTTTTTTTTTGTTTTTTGTTTTGTTTTGCATTGTTGCTTGTTCCCCCTGTTTCGATGCTATGCTGCTTTTTCTGCAAAGTATTCAGTTTATAGTCCTTTACTTGGGCGTACAATAGGCTGATGCACTTAAGTAAATTTTTGCTGACAAGTATTAAATTTCTTTTTTTTTTTTTTTAAAAACATTATTGTTAATGGAGAGAAAAAACTGCAAAAAACAGAGGATAAAAAATCCTGCTATGAATTACTATTCTTTTGTTAATTTATATCATGCCAGTAGTAATTATAAACTCTTTTATGCTCGTTCTCAAAAATGATGAACAATTTTCTTAAAGGAGATTTGCAATGTAGGTTTTGGAGAGGATGCTTCAATTTTATGGAATAAAATCTAAACGGATAAGGAAGATCACATTGATGTTCTCATCTTATCCTTTCATTGGGTTACTAAACGCTGCTGTAAGTAAGCTTCCTTTTGTCACTGTTCTATAACGCTGCTTTTATGGTTTATCAAATTACTATTTTTTCACACGTGTTTGAGAACTTTCCATGCAGTGGTATGATTAGGATAAGTGTAGATTGTACTTTTTCCACTCTTGGTGGAAAAAAAGGATAATCTCTTGGAGTTAAGGATTATTGGCCACTTAGTTTATTTGTGGACTAGAGTGTACAAGCTCATCGCTGAGGGCCTTCTTTTCCTTGATGTGTTGTTGTTGTCCTGCTTTCAAATCATCTCATATAATTAAGTCAGTTTATTTTGGTAGGCAGATCCTAGTTCTGCTTTGGTAGCCAATGAGGTGGTAGAAAATGTTAGGAGAAGGAATTTTATGGTTTGATCTTTATGCTATTATTTGAGAAGGCCTATGACCCTCCATGCTGTTTTCGTAAAAAAAGTTTGGAAGAAGGTGATATATTTACTACTGCTTGTGCTGTATTTTTGTGTGGGAAGCCAATTTTTTTAGAGCGGTTTTGGGAGCTTTGGCAGATGTGTCATCTAGAGGTTCGTGTTAGTACCTCATGCTTGTGGATGATATTGTTCTTTTAGAGCAAGATATGAGTAATTTATGGATCTTCTTTTTCATCCTTAAGATAAGATTGGTTTGCCATTCACTGGACACTAATTCCTTGCCCTCTCTTTCTTGTCTCCACACTGTATTCTCTTCCTCATCGTTCTCTTACCTCTGATAGCTGGGGGTAGTTGAACTCCTCTATGGTCTGTTTTACCCCTCAACTGACAATCAGGCCTGGTTCTGCTTCTCCCTTCTAGCATATGCTGTGATGGGCATATGCTGATCATAACTGGAAGCTGTTTTCTGCTGCTAAAGGTCATCCCCTGCCTCTGGCAGCATTTTCTCATTTTAATTCCATTTTTCGAGCTTTCTCCATCATTATGTCTGTTTGAAAGTGACTGATTGTTTATCCAAGACTGTCTCCCTCCCATTGAGTATCTTATAGGGTAGGGTATTTTCCTTTCCTTTTGTTTTTCCCCCCCGGTAGCCTCTATTGTGCTGTGCACTTCTTATTTTGTTTAGCACCCTTGCCAGTTCTGCAGATAGTTTCAGCAGAAATGCTTGGTGTTTACTTGGTGCTGTCTCTCTCAAGTGTCTTTATGTCTGCAAAATGTTTCTTGTTTTTATCTAAGGGATAAAAGGGTCAATCGATGGTATTTCCAGTTTGGTTTCTATTGCTTAATCAATTATGTATGTTACTTAGTTTAATGAATGCTGAGATGGCGAGTGTTGGATCTCATGTTTAGATGTTGGAGAGGGCATCGTATTGTTTGGTTCTGTATAGATATCTTTATAAAAATGTTATATTCTACTGGTTGATGTGGCTGTCTTATAATCTATGGCTCAAATACTTCTCCATATTGGTATTTTTTGACAGCTATGCGATTCTTTGATAAGATTCTTTTGGCTCTTTGATATTGCAGGTTTCCTCCATTAAATCTGGATTGTGGAACAGCATTTATGATTCCTTCCAAGCTATCAGCAATAATGAACTAGACAATTCTCATGCCAACAAGGATTGTGGATACGAGACCATAGATGTTGGACCAAGTGACAAACTTGTTCCTGTTATAACAAATGACCACACGGAGAATATAAATTGTGAGTTTAACCTTCAAACTGTGGGTGAATAATTCTGTATCGGTCTTTTATAAATTTGCCAAGATTGTCTCTGCCATGTTATTGTCTTTTCTTTTCTTGCTTTCTTTCTTTCTTTCTTTCTTTCTTTTTCTTTTTTTAAAAGTAACAATGAGAAAAGAAAGTGATAAAAGTTAAGCTTAATGGCCAAAATATAGAGCCTATCATTACATATGCAGACCTGACAAACAAATTTCTTTTAAAAACATCAAAGCTGATGCAGAACCCTTATATGTGGGCGAATCGGACTGGCTGCTTTTGAATCCTCTTCTATTCCTTATAGTTGTATGCTAGATATTAATAAAAATGATGGTGGACTTTCAATGAATAGCCTTAGCTCAAGTGCCTTTTGCTTTACTTTTGGACTGTTTCTCAATTCAGAGGCTTTTATGGAAAGACAGTCCTAGATCTATTTGAAATAAGCTGTGTTTCTTGGGTTGCCATGGGCCTATGGCTATGGCTATAGCTATGGCTATGATCAGAGTGAAATTTAACTGAAAAATAATATTTTGAGCTTTTGGGCAGTTATATGTGGCTATAGTTCTTTTATCCAAAGAGAAAAATATGGTTATATTTTATTTTCACTTGCTAACAGAATAAACTGAGTTGCAATCATGTTGCTAACTTATGCTTTTATGACTAATTAGGATTTTTTTTTTTAAAGAGTTTAGCATTATCTGTTGTTACCTGTATATTACTGTTCTTCCTCTTTATGCCTTCATCTGTTTTAGAAAGTTGTGTTCATGATTATCTCAGCTTGTGAAAAGTTTTACCTAACTTGACAGGCTATTCTACTGGAGACATCATCAGAAAAATTGAAGCCTATTTTGATGTTGGTAGCGATGTACATAAATGTAGTCAATCATCAGTACAAAATCAAATTACATTGTTGAGGAAACTTCAAAACTGTGAAAGTTGGGTGGCTGAGCAGCTTTGTGTGCAGAACTTTGGTTCTCTTGGTTACGGGGACTTCTTATCCTTCCTTGAGAAGTATGTTTCTCAGCTGCCCCATGAGCTGCTCAAATGGTCGGCTGGTGGCATATGTGAAAAATCCTCTTTGGAGGCCCGCATGCCATCAAATCAGTTGGCAGCTCTAGTGTCCCAAGCTCTTTCTAGTTTGTGGGAGAATCAAACAGTAACCAAACAGATGATTTCCTTACTCCTTATGAGGCAGTTTCCAGTTATTGGTTTTGAACTCATGGGAAATAGTTCTCTGGAAGACTTTCTAGATACTTTACAGAAGCATGAAGCCAGTGTAGCATCAAAATGTGTTCTGTTTTCTGCAACAATGATAGAAAAGTGCCATTTCCCAGATTCATTAAGCTGTGGAGATGATAATCGGCTTGAACCTACTGGTGATAGGTTTGATACAGGCCAGAAATTAAAAAGCTCCGGAACTCTTACATCTAGAAATGCAATTGAAATCTTACTTAGGGCACCAATGTTGTCTGACTTAAGCAAGTGGTCTCACTGGGATCTTATGTTTGCACCTTCACTTGGCTCTCTTATATCATGGTTATTGGAAGCAAATACCAAGGAGTTGTTGTGTTTGGTGGCCAAAGATGGAAAAGTGATGCGTTTAGATCCCTCTGCCTCTTTGGACTCTTTCCTTGAGGCTGCAGTTCAAGGATATTCTTTTCAAACAGCAGTGAATTTGATTTCTTTATTCTGTCTATTTGGGGGAGAGAAGTATGTTCCATTGTCACTTCTAAAATGCCATGCTCATCATGCATTTGAAGTCATGTTGAGAAACACTATGGAAAATATGGAAGTCAGTGATGGTAGGCATTCCCTGCTGCCTGGGGAAGCATTAAATAATATGACAAATTTTGCTGACATTTCAACAGCTAATATGAGAAGTGAATTGTGCAAACATATTCAGAAAACGAATAAGGCAGCGCCCATCCTATCAAGGTTTGTCCTTGATTGTGTTGGTTATCTACCTGCTGAATTTCATGCTTTTGCTGCTGATGTGTTGCTTTCGGGAATGCAATCTGTTTTCACGGAAGCTGCTTCTGCTATTTTATGTGCATGCAACAACAAGGAGGAACGTCTCATGCTTCATGAAGTAGGACTGTCTTTAGGTGTTTTGGAATGGATTAATGATTACCATGCATTTGTTTCAAGTGACAATTATAACCTGCTTTGTGCTGGTGATTCATGCTTGGATATTGGTAAAACTAGGGAAAGCATAGGCCAGAAGCATGACCATGATGTTGAAAATAAATTTCCTGTGCCTGAAGAAAATATAGTTGAATCATCCTCGGCAAGTGGATTTATCAAAGTTTGCAGTGAAATAAGTCAAGTAGCTGACACAGGAAAATCCAATTATGATGAACCTGTCCATGATAGCCTGCAAGATGAATCTAGGCTTGTTGAAGAAAAGGATGCATCTCTCGTCATTGAATCTATTAGGCGGGATGAATTTGGTCTGGATCCTAGTCTTTCTGATACTGAGAGCAACATGTTGAGGAAGCAACACGCTCGGTTAGGTAGAGCACTTCATTGTCTTTCACAAGAACTGTATTCTCAAGATTCACATTTTATTCTTGAACTGGTGAGTATAGTGTTTTTTCTTTTGCTTATATTTAACGAAGACTTCTTATCTGTCAACTTTTTACTGTTTATTTTGGTAAATTAGTAACTTATGTGAGACAAGATTGCTTTTTTGTTTTTAATTTGTGCTTCAAAATGGTCCACTGGGTGAAAATTGGTTATATTGATGAGGTGTGTATTACAACAGGAGGAAGTAAATACTAATCTAATTGCAATTTGTCAAACTCCGTTGAACTTCTGTAATGTAATAATAAGCATCATAGTAAGGAGATTTCTGAAACAATTGAGAGCTGATGGGAAGGAAGAAGTATATTATGCCTGTCAAATAGTGATCAGGGGTTGGAAATACTTCTCATATGTGGACCCAAAAAATATTTCAGGAACTAGGAGTCTAAGAATTATCATTCTGTATGTCAATCAATGCCGATTGTGTGTGTCAATCTTATCTGTTCTATTAAAATTTCAGCCATCTCTTGGCATATCCCATACTGTCTCTAAACCCTCAATTGAAACAATCCAGGACACCAGCCGGCTCCATTTCCAAAGATTCCAGCCCCACCCCCCACGCCCTGCATTTCAGAATAAGAAAGAATGTTTAGAAGTGAATATTTTGGAATAGAAGAGAATGCAATAAGAAATCTTTATAAAAATGTTATACAATACTTATCAATTTTTAGAATTAGAAACTCCTCTTCATGTTGGAAAATTTTGATTCAGCTCCATAACTGCTTCTGTCTTCCGCTTTGATGAGCACAATATTTCCATTTTCAGGAATCATCCTCAAAATCTTCTTGACAAAATACAAATAACTTGAAAGTTTGGTTCAAAATTTAGAAGTTCCTCTGCATTAGTTTGTCCAAGACTAAAATATATGATCTAAGAGAATGGCAAGCTGATACTGTTTTGAGTAGAGTCTATCTTGTCATTTATAAAGTGACATTCTGTCTCCACAAGTTTTGTCTATTATGATGTATAGGAATTTTGGCAATGCCAATAGTATCCAAGTTGCTCCATTGTTTGACTTGTATTCTGAATATGCTAATGAACGAGGCAGCAATCGTTTTCAAGGACTATGGTACGATCTCTAGTTTTTACTTTCACTTTGCATTGTTTATGAGTGGTTTTAATGCAATAAAGTTGTTCACTTTGTAGCGTTATTCTGAATGTTGAAAATTTCAGTTTGTTGCTGGTAATTCGGCTGGAATCTGTTTGTTAATATTCTGTTAATTCATCTAATTAATTCTCATGTTGACTCAGGTTCAGAATGCAGATGATAATAATTATCCAGAGAATGTGGAACCAACACTGACGTTTATTCTTCGAGATTCTGGTATTATTGTTTTGAATAATGAGCAAGGTTTCTCCGTAGAAAATATGAGAGCACTTTGTGATGTTGGCAATTCAACAAAGAAAGGGTCGAATGCTGGATATATAGGGCAGAAAGGCATTGGTTTCAAGTCTGTTTTCCGAGTATGTTATAAAATCTTTCATTTTATTGAATGTCTAAAAATTAGTATATTGATTCGAATATGAATGCTCGGAAACCCTGTATCCAAAAGGACATTTTGATACTGCTGAAGGTGTATGGTTGCTTCATCACCTTTTATTGTTGTGGGACATATTTCATAAACTATACTTTCTCTGCCTTCAACTATGTGGCTCTTTGCAATTTTTTAATTGATCTTTGCTTTATTCTTTAAAAAATCAGGTAGCGTTATGCTTCATTTATACCATTTAGTTACTAATTGGTTTTGTTACTTGTTTTCTTCCCTGTCAAGTTCTGGAAATGGTTTTGTGATTTCCATGCATTGTTTGCTACGTGCTGGCTATTAATAATGTAATTAATATTGTTATATGTGGTGCTAAGATCATGGTTCAGTAAGAGATCAAACACAGGTCCTCTAGAATGGACATTCTCAATCTGGATATACAATTCCACCTTATGAATTGAGATTTCGTTTAAAGAAATGAATCATGTTACTATAAGTATTACTATAGCTTTCTAAGTACAACATTTTATGCAGCAAGCGTTGTGTATCTAAGGGTTTGTTACTGTTATCATTTGTAAGGACACCTGTTAACTTTGAGATTTGAGCCCTACATTAAGGGTTATGGTCATGTTACCTTGTGTTGGCTTTCATTAATGGATACATCAAGATTTATGCTGGCATTTTGTTTGGTTTATTCTTTTCAGAATGCTCTACTGTTTTCCCCTAATTTGCCTTCTGTTCTTGACCTTTCTGTTTTCCCCCCCTTTTCTTTTCAACTTGTGTCTTATTTCCATATTACATGGTATTGCCTGTCAGGCTGTCGTAAGTTTTAGCTGATTTTGTTTCTTTTGTGAGATGTATTAATTTACTTCGGCACATGTTAAAGCTGTGTGTAGTTCTTACTGGAAGCTAGAGAATATGTTCCTTTCTAGCTATTGGGGGTGTTGTGCTGACAATTTGTCTTACTTTGATTGGTTTTACTTCAGGTGACAGATGCTCCAGAGATTCACTCTAATGGATTTCATGTCAAGTTTGACATCAGCGAAGGCCAGATTGGCTTTGTTTTGCCTACAGTAGTACCTCCTTGCGACATTGACCTGTTTAGTAGGATGGCATCTACTGATGTAGATTCATTTGATACTAATCCTTGGAAAACATGTATTATACTTCCATTCAGGTCTCATCTGTTTGAAGGAAGCATCATGAATAGCATTATGTCTATGTTTTCAGATCTTCATCCTTCATTATTACTTTTCCTCCACCGCCTAAAGTGTCTAAAGTTAAGAAACTTCCTCAATGATACGCTTATTGATATGAGAAAAGAGATTGTCGGAGATGGTATCATTAGGGTTTCATATGGGAAAGAAAAAATGACATGGTTTGTAGTATCTCAGAAGTTGCAGGTGCCGCAGAAGTTGCAGGCAAATTATCTTCGTTCGGATGTACAAACAACAGAAATCTCTATGGCTTTTACTCTGCAGGAATCAGATAACAGCTACAGTCCATGTTTGGATCAGCAGCCCGTTTTTGCATTTCTCCCTTTAAGAACATATGGCCTTAAATTCATTCTGCAAGGTGATTTTGTTCTACCCTCATCTAGAGAGGAAGTTGATGGAGATAGTCCCTGGAACCAGTGGTTATTGTCGGAGTACCCTAGCTTGTTTGTCAGAGCGCAGAGAGAGTTTTGTGAACTTCCTTGTTTCAGGAGTAATCCAGGAAAAGCATTGTCTGCTTTCATGAGTTTTGTTCCTTTAGTTGGAGAAGTGCATGGCTTTTTCTCCAGTCTTCCCCGTTTGATGATTAATAATCTGCGTATGGCAAACTGCTTACTTGTGGACAGTGGCAACAATCAATGGGCCCCTCCATGCAAGGTCCTTAGAGGCTGGACTGAACAAGTTCGCAGTCTTCTTACTAATGACTTACTTTATGAACACCTTGGACTCAGATACTTGGATAAAGATGTAGAATTATCTGATGCATTATCCAAGGCACTAGGCATTAAGGAGTTTGGAGTGAATATTCTTGTAGAAGTAATGTCAAAGATATGTGGCAGAAGTAGTGGCATGATGTCAATGGGTATGAGTTGGTTGGCTTCTTGTCTTAATACGATCCATGTAACGCTACTCAACTCATCTCATAAAATGTCAGGAAGTTTTGAAACAAGAGAAGATATTCTAGAAAGTCTACAAAAAATTCCATTTATTCCGCTTTCAGATGGTACATACAGTTCAGTTAGTGAAGGCACTATATGGTTGCACTCAAACACTTCAAGCACTGGGTTTGATGGTGTGCATAAAATTGAAGCCTTCCCTAATATATGTGCTAATCTTCGAACTGTAGCTCCTTCCCTTCTTTCTTCATCTTCTGCTGATACTTTAGTCTTAAATTTGGTTGTTGTGGACAATGTTACCAGGCTGCTGCAGAGTATTGGAGTTCAACAGTTATCTGCGCATGATATAGTAAAGCTGCATATCTTGCCAGCTATGTCTGGGATAAAAAGGGCTGACCAACACAGAATGTTGCTGATTGAATACATATGTTTTGTAATGCTGCACCTGAGATCTACATGCTCTGAATGTTTAATTGAGAAAGAGTTTATAATTTCAGAGTTGCGATGCAAATCTTTGTTATTGACAAACTATGGTTTTAAACATCCTGGTGATGTACCAATTCATTTCAGCAAAGATTATGGAAATCCAGTTAATGCGAAAATGCTGGCAGATGTTGTGGATATGAATTGGCCTGAGATTGACATCGACTATCTAAAGCACCCAGCTAATGAGTCCCTTTCATGTGGACCGGAAAATTGGAGGGAATTTTTTGAAAGAATTGGCATTACAGATTTTGCTCAAATAGTTCAGGTGGGTAAGAGTGTTACTGATGTATCTGATTTTACTTTTAAGCATGTGATGTTGGATAAGGGTCTAATATCTCCTGAATTATCGGTGAAAGATTGGGAATCCCCAGAACTAGTACAGTTGCTAACCCTGTTGTCTAAAAGTGGTAGCAAGAAAAATTGTAACCATCTCTTGGAGATTCTTGACACATTATGGGATTCTTGCTATAGCGATAAAACCAGAAGTTACTTATCTATATCCGGTGGGGATAATCATCCCTTTAAGTCTACTTTTATGCACAAAATATGTGATACGCAGTGGGTAGCGTCAACAATGGATGATGAACTTCACTATCCCAAAGATTTATTTTATGATTGTGAAGCAGTCCGAATGATCCTGGGAGCTTCTGCGCCGTATGCCCTTCCAAAGGTTTGTGTTTCATAATTGGTGATTTGTTCATGATCAGAGGATATTCTGACCCTGATATTTAGAAGAACAATTTCTGTTGACTTAAATTTATACCATCACATTCTGTATATTAAATCAGGTGAGAAGTGAAAGGCTGGTAAATGACATTGGATTTAAGACGAGAGTTACCCTTGCTGATATTTTGGAGATTCTTGGAGTCTGGAGAAAGTCAGAGACTCCAATCAAGGCCAGGTATGCTCCTATGGCTTTTGAACTTGGAGTAGCTTTGAACATTAAGAGACTTAGAATAACTAAAGATTAATTAAGCCAGAAATTTGGGGGAGCAATCATTTGTGCCTCCTGTTTAATTCTTTATTGATGGCAGAATAAGTATACAAATGATACATCCACAATATCATGAATAACCCAAGCCTGAAAAATGGCAAACACGTAACTAACGACATTTAAAAGATATTAAAAATACAAATTATAGATAACATAAATATGAAACGTGCAACTAACTAGCGATGCGTTATGCATGGATTCCACAGTAGCAACAATACCCCTCAAGTTAGTGAATGTATTTTCAATAATCCCAGCCTTGTTCTTAGTTCTTACTTTTTCAATGCGGATTGCGAATTCCCAAAGTTTACAAATTCCAACCTCAGTTTCTTCATCGCCCTTAGACTTGATTTATTGGAGACTGTCAGTGAAACATTAGAGCACCCACTCATTCATCTTTGCTCATGGAGATGAGAGTGAAGATTGAACTACATGAGGTTCAAGTTAAGGAGGATTTCAGGGCCATGACACTCTGGGTTTGTGTCTTTTTGGGTGTGTTTTTACCCATTTTTGCTTTTTTGTTTTTTTCTTTTGGGGTTTTCTTTTTTTTTTCCCCTGCCCGGGGGGGGGGGGTTGTCAAACCTCTAGGTGAATTGGAAATTCATTGTGCTAGTATAGTACCTAATTCATGCATGGATAGAGCTGTTGTTGGTTGCGAAATGGGGATAGCCATGGAGGAAAGAAAGAACCAAAGTAAATGCGAATATGAATGATATTAGGATGGAAGGGGTGATGACGAAGTAGATTTGTGTAGAGGGCTAGCAGAATGGCTGAGTACTATTTTTGGATCAAAAAGCCCTGATGCCGAATGATAGGGATTTGAGATAGGTAGAAAGAAAGAAGAAAAAGTTTTTATTAAAATAGGAAATCGAATCTAACTTCATAAATTAATGAAGTTGGAAGAATAAATCTCTACTAGAATATGAGCAATGATCTTAAACTCATACCACTAATAAGGCCTTAAGAAAATAAAGGACAAGAAAATCTAATAAGAAAAAGAAAGCAAGCATCTCGCTCAACTCCTTATTAGCTAAAGACTTGTGAGAATATCTAAAGGAATAAAAACTGATATATTATTCATGAAGGACTAGATTTAGGGAGGCTACCGTATTTATAAACGAAGGTTTCATTAAAATAGTCAAATAAAATCTAGAAAATCTACAGGATCCTATCCACAACAGTATGGATGAACCCACATTCCCTGCTCATCCCCCCATTGGCAGCGTTTGGGGGATGAGATACCATCCCCGCCCCCCCCCCCCCACTAATTTTTAATTTTATTAATCTCATTCTTTTATTTGGGTTCAGTCGTATCTAGTACTCTAAAGTACATTTTTAGTAACACCTAGTGTAAGAAATTAATGAATTTTAATTGCTTCTAAATTGTTTATTTATTTTTTTTTTCCAGTAGCACTTGGTATCTTAGTTAATTTTTAGTGCATCCAGCACCGTACACTATATTTTCAAGAGCATTCAGATGCATTAAAAATTATTTAATTTGGGATACCGAGTGCTATAGAAAAAATACTTCTGACATGTTGAATACATTAAAAATTAATTAATATAAGATACTAAATGCTGCTGCAAAAAAAGTTCAGGGTGGAATGCACTAAAACAATAATAAATTTAGGATACTTGTTGCTCCTGAAAATATATTGTAGGGTGTTGGATACACTAAAAATTAATCAATTTAGGATACTGAGTATTGTTAAAAAATTATTGCAGAGTACCAGATACAACTTAGTCCAAGTAAATAAAAAATAAAAATTAATTAAATATTCGATGAGCACCATCTGGGGGATGAGCATGCCCTGCTCATAGATTCGATGCCAGTATGGATCTTTATTTGGTTCCTAATATCTTTTATCAAATATTTAAATATCTAAGATAAACTGATTTAAATATTCCAGATTGTGTCAGTATTTGACTTTTTTGGTCAAGACCAACATATGACTCAATAACAAACAATTCCTAGTTGAGATATTTATAAATAATAAGAGTCCTAAAAATGTGCCAAGAAATTGACCCACTAATTTCATCCACTTTCATCCACAATCCCATGATACGCAGTACCCTATCAAACTCATTTGTTTATTATTTTGTTTTTGGTGACGCATTTTTGTATCTGTTATGGCAGTATAACACAAATGTCCAAATTGTATGCATTCATCTGGAATGAAATGACACCGTCAAGGCAGAAAACAAGGGAGGAATTAATGTCAGGACCTTTTATATTTATTCCAAACTCATCTGTCCTTAGGCATGATGATGTTGTATGTGGGATTTTAGTGTCTCCTTCTGAAGTCTATTGGCATGATTTAACTGGCTCTGTTGACCAAGTTAATGACATCGGTCCTCAAAGTGCTTCGATTGAGAGAACTTGTTCCTCTATCAACAAGTCTTTATATAAAATATACCCTGGCCTTCGCGGATTCTTTGTTGATGAATGTGGAGTGAATGAAGCACCTCCTATGCGCAGCTACATTCATATTTTGCTGCAGCTTTCAACTGCCACTTTACCTTTACAAGCAGCTAATAAAGTATGTTCTCGAGATGAATTATCATCTTATTTAGTTTTATTGCGGATTGCCCTGATTCACTGAATTATCTAACCCCATTTTCAGGTTCTCAATGTTTTCCTCAAGTGGGCAGATGGATTGAAATCTGGGCAACTGAGTATTGAGGATGTCATATATTTGAAGGAATGCCTTTCAACACTGGAATTTCCAGTGCTTCCAACGATCCAAGATAAGTGGGTTTCATTGCATCCTTCCTTTGGTCTCGTGTGCTGGTGTGACGATAAAAGTTTAAAAAAGGAATTTAAGCATTCAGATAACCTTGACTTTCTCTACTTTGGAGACCTCACTGATGAGGAGGATCATGAAATTGTTCAACAAAAACTTTCAACCCTTATGAAATCCTTGGGCATTTCATCTTTGTCAGAGGTATGATCACTCCTGTTCCTCTTTTCTGAGTAGAATCTTGGGTATTCTGAATTTACTTCGCCCTTGAGAGCCTTACCATTTTTCTCACGAGAGAAGTTATTGTATGTCTAGAGTGTATATCTAAAAGTTGTTTACAATTATCAATGAACAGATTTTTCCCCCCTGAAAACCCTAGAACTATAATCATTTTGACCTTATAGGTCCTTCAGTAGGCATTGGCTTGATAAGCTGAACTATGTCTTGAATGAAAATTTAACATTTGCTTATTTGTTAAAATAATAATATATTAATATTTTCAAGCTGTTTACTTTGGAAAGAATTATTAGTATGCTTTTGGTTTCAAATATTGCATCTTTGCATTATGTGCAGATTGTAACTCGTGAAGCAATATATTATGGTCTTGCTGATTGTGGCTTGAAGGCATCATTGATAAACTGGGCTCTTCCATATGCACAGCGCTACGTACATAAAGTTCATAATGATAAATTTTTTCAATTGAAGCAGTCCGGGTTTGATTTTCTGAATCACCTTAAAGTCATTGTTGTTGAGAAGCTGTTTTACAGGAATGTCATAAAGGGTTGTGGAAGCATATCAAAAACGCGAGTTGAATGTAGTTGTCTTCTGCAAGTATGTTAAAAGCTTCCGTTTCTTCCCACAAACACATGCACACTCGCACACTTACTTTTCAAGCATTGGCTGTATTACTTGCAACTCTACTAATTTTTTGTTATAATTTTTTTTTTTGGCCTCCAGAACCTATATTCTTATATACTTGTATGTCCATTTTGTCGCAGGAAAACTTTTTGTACACCACCCAAGATGCAGATCATCATTCTTTGTTTATGGAGCTTTCTCGTCTGTTATTTGATGGCACTCCTGAGTTGCACTTAGCCAATTTCCTTCATATCATAACAACAATGGCAGAATCTGGTTCCTCGAAGGAGCAAATAGAATTTTTCATATCAAATAGCCAAAATGTGTCTGAAATTCCTTTTGAAGAATCAGTTTGGACTCTCTCTTCATCTTCATTGGAGACTGATAATATACAACCATCAGCTCATGTACCAAAAACAAACGAACAGATCTTTCCAAAAAGAAAGACTGGGGTAAGCTCAAACTGGCCACCTGTTGACTGGAAAACTGCACCAGATTTTAGTTATGCCCGTGCAAATGGATTCAAGACACAGGCTGCCCAGACTGGTGGCTGTATTGAAATGAAGAACGATGGTTTTGAGAGCCTTAATTCCGTAACAATTTGTGCCGATCCCGAGTCAGTTGATGCTGACTGGACTATTGAAGATGGGCCGGTAGAAAGTACAGCAGCAATAGTGCTGCATGAAAGTGACAACTTGGAAGATCAGTCCTGCCAAGACAGCTATCAGACCACTTCTAATCCTCATACTGGCTTTGATACAGTTAGTTTAGAAGAGGCTCTTTATGAGCCTGGCATGAGTTCAGCTTTTAGCAAGAGAGATCAGCTCATAACTGGCACACCTGATGCAGCACAAGCACGGGCAACAGGAAGACTAGGTGAACTTCTTTCGCACAAATACTTTGTCAGGAAAGTTGGTAAGGCTGCTGTAAAGTGGGTTAATGAAACTAAAGAAACGGGGCTTCCATTTGACTTAGTCATCGGGCAGGAGCCCAATAAAGAGTTCATAGAAGTTAAAGCAACAAGATCTTCAAGGAAAGATTGGTTCAATATAACAGTGAGAGAATGGCAGTTTGCTGCCGATAAAGGCGAATCTTTTAGCATCGCACATGTAGCATTAATGGAAAACAATGTTGCTAGGATTACGATTTTCAAAGATCCAGTGAAGCTATGCCAGCAAGGTGTGCTGCAATTGGCTGTTGTGATGCCAAAACAACGGGAGTTCGCTGCCGTACCTTAGCTGCTACTCTTGTTAGACCCTGTGGTGAGGAAGTACCCTGCGAGGCCACTATGGAATCTAGAGAAACAGTGGGGTTCACTTCATCCTCTGTTCATTTAATTTGAATGGCACTTGGGCGGAGAGTCTTCAGCATTTATTGACCCCTAGCGTTGTGGAGCTCAATATTTTAGTGCTACATGGATTCCTTATTCCACATGCCCGAAGTTTGGGTGTCTCCCCACTAGAAAATGACGCCTAATGCAGTGGGGGAATTTTGGCATCACTGTGTTTATGGTTTAAGCTTATTCACAGTCACACTTTTCTTAGTTCTCATCCAGGTGATCGATCTTCAACAAGGGTTCTGCAAAATAAGGGTTTGAAGGGTTCGGCCAGATGAGGATCTAGGCCACTGAATGGTTGAAACCCGCACACCCCCCCCCCCTATATGCTTCAAGAGGAATTACATGGGGATAGATTGATACAATAGAAACCTCTAGTAAAATGCCCACCTATAAACCAGTGGATAAAGTACATTACATAGTCCGTCTTAGGGATTGGTAATTTACCCATTCAATGACTTTGGCATCGGATGTTCCCAAAATGGGTACAAAAATTGTCATCTCTGGGTAGTTTCTCCTAACAAAATTTACATCATAGGGCGTTAATTTTTATTTATTTTTGGATCAATATTTAAGACGTGGAAAGATGCGAATTAGCTTGTTTCCTAAAATGAATGTAAATATCTTTGTATTCTGAAAGTGTTGGATATCAATTTTGTGTAAGGCCAAAAATATCAATTTTGTGATTCCAAAATTTGTGCAGAAGAAAGCTCTATATTCAGCTTTGGTATATATTATATTCAACGGCTTTTTAACTTGACTTGTTCTTTTGAAGACTTGTTACATCTGTAACCTTCTCAATATGTTAAACTTTATACTCGTCTGATTTTTAATATATAACTTAATTAATTAATTTGAATAGATTAAAAATGTTAGTTAAATTAGGTAATATATGTTTTTTTTTTAAAATACCTCAAGCATCTTTTTTAATTTTCTTCTTTCCTCTCTTATTTAATTATTATTGGAGGAATATGAATAAGGTTAATTGGAGAAAAAAATTAATAAACATATGAAATAAGTCTTATATATAAGATTTACATTAACTTTCTAATTAATTTCTCTATTAAGGATGGGGGGGCTAATATTTTAGTGTAATGCTGGATGATATGCACTGTGCAATAGGAAAAAGATATTTAATAGCTTCTCATGCTTTCTCAATTTGTACAATAAAATATTGTTTTGACCACTATTAGAACTGAACTAAACTTGTTAGATGTATCGAAAATCTGATGTGTCGGACTGTTACAACTCAAACTTAATTAAACTAAACGGGAATTTATTAACAAGCAATATAAATGCGTAAGTTAACAAAACACTAAACCAGATTGTAACCACCCATTTTCAAAAAAAACCCTAAAAATGAATAAAAAAACTAATTAAAAACAAAAAAATATCCATGCAAAAGTTTCGACACTGGATGAGTCCAGTTGCATGGAAGCTTAGAAGACCCTTCTTCCCCACATTCCTTTTCATAGCCCCATCTTCCCCATTTTCCTTGGTCCTTAAACTAGATAATCTTCATGCCTAAGTAATAAGGAGATTGAGTATGTTGGTGCATGATATCATCATCATCATCATCATCTTATTCTACTGTACGATTTATTTTTGTTAGTGTTCGTCTTTTTTCCTCCATACCTAATTTAAGCTACTGCGACTCTTTAACTTTGTATGCTTTATACTACCTCCGTCCTTAATATAAGAACTCATTTAATTCTTATTTTAGTTTTATAAATCTTAATTTACTTTGTTTCTTAAATTTATCTATTTTTTCTCAAGGTAATCCTTGCAATAATGGTAGTTCTAACCAATATACTTGATTAACAAAGATATTTTAAGAAAGACAACACTCATTTAGTACAAATAATTAATTTAACTAGTTTCTTTAATATATTCAAATTAGTTAACTAGTTCTTTTATTAAGAACCGGAAGTAGTATTTCTTAATATCATTTTGCCTTTTCCTGTTCCTCTAAACTTCTACCATGTTCGTCAGTTCTTAGGTGGCATTTTGTTTAATCAGCAGTACAATTATAATTAGCTATTAAAAATGTTGAATATTGACCTTAGTTATCGAAAATAAAACACAAATATGGTACAATGGTAATTTTTTTAAATTGTTCTAATTTTGGTCAAAAATGGAAAATATGTGCATTTTACGAAAATTAAATACAAATATGTCTCGTGAATTATATAACTGGGTTCAAGGTCAAAAATACTAATGATGTTATGCCAAAAGTTCATTCAGTACTACCAATCCAAGTTTAAAAATGGCACAAAAATATGCAGTTTAAACGAGCAAACGTCTGTTACCTTTGTAGTGTGACCCACGATACCAAAATACCCCAACTAAAACAAAAAAATTTAAGGGTCAAACATACCCATGAACTTATACTAAAATTCACCATAGACCATATAATTTTTACTGAAAGTACCAAAATACTGTCAATCTTAAAAGGTTATTGTATTAAAGTGTGTTAGAGATTATTAATTATAATAAATTTTAATAATTAAAATAATTCATGTAGAAAAAAGTTAAGCTTGAGTTGAATTGCTCTTCAACGATAAGTTTTTTTTTTTTGGCCTGATCAATGATAAGTTATTGAGTAAAATACTCTAACCTCCTATATGTTTTGCCCCTAATTATATGGACATCTATTCTATTTTGAAAACGTACACTTAAATCCAACCTATTAACTCAGTTAAGAATATTGCAAAAATATATTTAAATAAGTTTTATTTACTAATCTACCCTTCATCATGCTAAATCATTAATCTTGACTAAAATTCTTTGAAAAATTTTAGACTTTTTCTCTTTCTCTTTCTGAAAATTAATTATTTGTTTATTTTTTACCATATTAGGCAGAAAATTCAAATAATTTAATTAACATAGATATTAAAAATTTGATTAATTTTGTTAATTAATAACACTTGACTAAATATGTTTATATATGTTTGTAGCAAAATATCTGTTTACAAATTTTAAATTATAAATTTAACGGGTTTATATAATCTCTCAAACTTGTAGCATTTATATCATATAATTAAATTGAATTAAAAATCTAAAATATCAAATAAATACTAATCAAAGAATCAAAATGTACATATTTATTTTGTTGACTTTATTTGACAATTCTCTGGAATTAAAATACCTTGGAATAAGTAATAATGGTGTTAAAATATAAAACACAATAAGTTATAAAAATATTTAATTACCATGTATAATATTTTTTTATTAAAATATTTTCAGTCATAACAATTAATATAATAACTATAACAATGGACTGCTTTTTATTAAAGAAGAAAAAAACTGGCTGATTAAGAAAATTTTTACTAAAAAATTAATAATCTTTTTAATTATAAAGATTGAGGACAGAAAAATTTATTATAATTAATAATCTCTAACGTGCTCTAATATAATAGCTCTTAAAGGTTGGAGGCATTTTGGTACTTTTATTAAAAATTATATGGTATTTGGTGAACTTTTGGTATAAGTTTATTGATATTATTTACCCTTAACCTTTTTTTTGTTTTAATTGGGAGTATTTTGATGCTTTTCATTAAAAATATTGTGGGTTCTACTAGAAAAGTAACGGACGTTAGCTCATTTAAACGATGCTGGTATTTTTGAGCTATTTTTAAATTTGGATTGGTAGATTTAAACTGAATTTCTTGTTTAATTTTATAGGTATTTTTGACTGTCAATCCTATATAATTTTAATATTTAAAAATTGATCCGTTATTTACAAGTTAAATTTACAAATTAATGTTTACAAGTCAATTTTTATATTTACAAGTACACGTCAAAGTCCATCATTTGCGATTCCCTCGACTACGGCAGAGTTGCCGGCTGTACGCACGGGTTTGGAGGTTTGCAAACAATTAAACCTCACAAGGTGAAATTCTACACGCATTCAGCGGAAGCCTGTCACATAATGAAGAAGCACTGTAGATCCTTTAATTCTATATTTAGTGGGAAGAAAATGGGAAAAAGAGGAAGGGAAGAAAAAATTTAACAAGTTTAATATAAAAAAAAAATTAAAAAGTGAGATTTTAAAATTTTGATAAATAGAGAATATAAAAAAAAAATTTTTAAAATTTAACTCATTAAACTTTTTTCTCTGTTCTTCTCGTGCCAAACGTGCTCTAAATGATGAGATCTAGGAGTTGAGAGCTCTGGTTTACAGGGAATGTAATAAGTGCCTGTTTGGGATTACGATAAAAATGTATAAATCAATAAAAATATTTCTATTTATAAACTATTCCAAACGGGTTCTAAATGTACATACCCCATGGCTCGTATGGCTCATGCTTCAAGTAAAGCTTTTGAGCTTATCCTCTAGCCACCTACTGCTTGCTTGGATCAAATCAGGAGAGGTATAAAGCAACATGCCAAGTGTCCATCCTTCTGATTGAGGAGTGTCTCATATAATTATATAAAGGGAAAATCATATTGGAGGTACCTGTATTTTTTGTAAATTTTCAATTTGGTACCTATGTGTTTTTTGTTCTTAACTAAATCTTTAATTTTGCTCAATTAACATCATTAATCCTTATATAGAGACTAAAAATACCAATAGAACAAAGTTATAAGAGCTAATGTTGCTAAAATAAAATAAAATTAAATGTTTAATCAAGAGGAAAAAACACATAGGTACCAAATTAAAAATTGAGAGAAAGTAGAGGTACCTATGATATGGTTTTCCCTTATATAAATCCTCAACCGTTGCTTGCCTTTTTATTCGGAGAAAATGTCATGAAATAACAACATATTCTTCGCATTTATTTATAAATTCTGAAACTTAATTAGGATTTATTTTTGAGAAAATTGGGGATAAATTTCTTATTATAAATTTAATTGGTAAATAGTCTTTAAGGTGATTGACTGCACAAAGAAAGATTAGTTACACACAAAGAAATGTAAGTGCATGCAAAAGAAAGATGGTTTGCACAAAACTATTTGGATATAATGGATTAATTTGCACGTAGAGAAGATGATTTACACAAGAGAATTTTATTTGTATAACGAAAAATTGAGTTGCACATAACACAAAAGGATATTATTACACACAAGGGAAGATAAACTGCATACAAAAGAAGTTAAGTTGCACAAAATAAAAGTTGTATAAAATCCTTTGATCTCATTTGCCAATTAAATTTTTAATGAAAGATTTACCCCCAATTTTCTCTTTATTTTTTATAGGGTATTTGTTTATAAATTTTTAATGCATTTTCCATAATTCCTCACGCGGTGAAAAATAACAGGTGCCTTTTTAATTATATTTTAATGATATTGCACTCCTTGAGAATTTAGGATAGTCATTATTATGGAGAAAATAATTTTTTAATGCATTTTTCATAATTCTTCTCACAAACTAACGGTGAACATTAATGGATGCCTTTTTAATTATATTTTAAAGATATTGCACTCCTTGATTAGGATAAGAATAATATTGCACCACTTGATTAGGATTAGGATAAGATGAAAAGACATCTAAGGGTGAAAATTAATGGATGCCTTTTTAATTATATTTTAAAGTTATTTTTTGAGATGTCTAAATTATTAAGTGATCCAACTTTACTGCTAAATCATTAAAATGGTTGAATTTCACCCTGCACTAAGGGAGGCAAAGGGTCCATTTTCTCTCCCATCCATCACCTTCACAACAGCGTCTGGCTCTCCCTATCTCAGCTTTCCCCATCCTATGGTCTAATCGGCGTGAGTCTCTCCCGTCGGTCATTGTCGAAGAAGATGACGATGAAGACCCAGCCTCCACGCGTCTCTGATCCTCATTAACAGTGGCTGTGCATTGGTTTAGTCGCCTGGATACGTAAGAGGACTCTGATTACTCCCAGATACGCAAAAATAAGAGTTAAGGCTCCAATCGTACATTGCAGTAGTGAAAGACATAATATTGGAATGAAGTTTACTTAATGATCACTGGAAACTCACTTGTATATTTATACTGAACATGCAAGTTTACAGGAGCGATTAAGTTACAACTAACTCAAGGTTTATAGCTGGCAAATCTTCTAGATTCAGTTACACAAATAACCACATGATTAACAAGTGCAAATTGTAGCTAATCCAAAGGACTCTTGCTCTAATTGCATCCAGCGGCGTGATCTTTTTTATGATACATCCAATATTCTAATTTTATTCTTTTGATGCATTCAGTATCTTGATATTATTTATTTAGTCATATCTAACACCCTAATCTTCGTAGTGTCAGATGGATTAAAAATAATATTAGAATGCTGGATGCATCGTAAAAAAGATTGAAGTGTTGGATGCTAAGAAAACATATTCTGTATGCCAAGAAAGCAGCACAAACAAGGTTAATGACCCTGGGATGGACAGTGCATAAGTGGGATAGTGAGTTTATTATGCTGCAAAGAACGAAGCTTGAAATCATTCAAGTACAATGTTGCATTTCTGTGCAATTTGCAAACTAAAAAACAAGTTTTTAAGAAAAGATACACTCCTTATTTTTCTGGATTTATTTGACTATCATTACTAGACTGATAGCCTACTTGAATGTTCACATAATTGCGTAGAAACTATCGATTCTTCTTCATGTTTATTTCAACTTCAACCATTTTGTGCATATATATAGTCTGTGTTTTTTTTTTTTTTTGGGATCAATCTTGGCCGCAGTGGTGTTAACCTTGTGAAGGCAATCACACAAGACCGTGTGTCAGATTTTCTCATAATATACTGTTTCATAACAGTCTGGTACAGCTTTCCATTTGTATCTCATTTTACTCAAAACGTACGAGAAGGTCCAAATCTCCAATTACTTAAGGTGCTTGATCCCTCTCAATTTATTGTTCACGTGCGAGGGGAATAGTTTTTGTTACGGCTTCGCTTTTTTGGCTGATTCATCTAGTTGGAAGTGTAAAATCTACTATAGCTACGGCCATTTTATGCATCATATAGAGTTACAGTTAGAAGCTTATTAAATTAAGAAGTTAAAAGTAAGGGGAAATTACTTCAAGATTTCACAATGCGATGATGACAATTCTGTTGAGAGATTTAAGTTGAAACATGATCGTCTTTTTTATTATTCTTGTGTGCTTATCTTAGGTTGGCCTCCCCCCCCCCAAGCATAACCTAGACTTCCACAGTATCATCAAATCAATTTGGGCTTGAGATTAATTTTTATTGGACCAGAAGCATTAATGTTATAACTTAGAATGTGCTTCCGAGATTTGAACTTATGTTCTCCTCCTTGTAAGATTGACACTACTTGCCATCTCAACTGATTTATTTACATTACAAAGAGATCTATTTTTTCCATGTCGATTATAATAACTAGCTTATCGTGAGTCTTCTATAGATGTTTTTTCTCTGGGTAGATGCTGTTGTCAATAGTAATCATGCATCTGATCATATCCAGAGGCATCCAATTAATCGAACACCTTATCTGCTATTTTGGAGCTGGATAAGTTGGATATGGTATTTGAACAGAGCATGATTGGCGCAAATGGAGACAAGCGGATTATGTTTCCACGTGGATTCCTAGTACCCTCATCCTATAATTTAAATTTCATTCAAAGGAGCACTTGTCTCTATCATATTAATTTCATCTTCCCCTGTTCACACCAACAATGTTCTAGATTCATCACATACATCATGGCTTACAGTACCAAAAAAAGCTCCATTTCCAGTTACATACACATTCGTACGTTGTGGAATTGTTCATCACGCAACGCAGCGCAACGTGATTGAAAATGAAAGTGTGGTGCAGTTTTCAGCTGCCCTAGCTGTGTGTGTCTATATATATAGATATAATTTGTGTAGGGTAATTGCAACTACACATTCTTAGTTTCTTACGGATTCGGATCAGTCACACTTCAAGTCCTTCCTCTCCTGTGGTATGTTATTTCTTCTTTGTTTTTGCTAGTTCGTGAAAGTTCTATGGTAATTCTACTATACATACTACTTCTGGTCCTTAATATAAGATCTAGCTGACTAATTTGAGTGAATTAAGAAAAATAGCTAAGTTAGTTACTTGTAATAAATAAGTATTGTCTTTTTAAAATAACCTTGCTAATCATGTGTATTAGCTAGAACTACCATTTGATGAAATCTTTAACATGTACAACCGGGCTACCTTGAAAAAAAATGAATAAATATAAGAGATAAAGTAGATTGGAGTCTTATATTTGAATCAAATTGAATGTTCTGGATGTAGTATATAAGAGACTGCGCGCAGCACACTTCACATCTCCTTCTGTTTTAGGTTCTGTTATCTAATGATTTCCAATATGATGATGTTGCAGAGAAACAACATGCGACTTTCTCAAGCTTATATATTTTTATCAGCAATACTATTGCTCTTATCACTGTCTCATGCTTTATGGAGGAAGGAAAGTAATGTCAAGGAAGCCGTTTTTCTTTCCCCCAAGTTTGAATTGGAACCAGGATCAGTTCAAGATGATTATTACTATGATATAGGCTTCCCAAGAGGCCATATCGCAATAAAGAGTTTCAATGGTGAAGTGATTGATGAAGAAGGCAATTCTGTACCTCTTCATGAAACTTATCTCCATCATTGGCTTATTGTTAGATACTATCAGCATAAAAGGGTGACAAACACAGGTAATAATGAGTCAGATTCAGATCAAGTGATAGTGGGAAATAGTGGCTTATGTCCTGCAGATACTCTTGGACACTATTTTGGTCTTGGATCCGAAACACGCGGCATAAATACCGATATACCAGAACCATTTGGGATAGAAGTAGGCAATCCTGCAGAAATTCCAAATGGGTATGAAGAGAAATGGATGCTTAATGTGCATGCCATCGATACCAGAGGTGTTGAAGATAGGTTGGGGTGCATTGAGTGCAAATGTGATCTTTATAACATCACAAAGGATGAATATGGCCAGCCTTTGAGGCCTGATTATATAGGCGGTTTCCTGTGTTGTTATCATAATACTCAATGTAGGGTGAAGGAAGGCCTTCGGCTACCAAAGAGAAGCCTCTACTTAAGATATGCAATTAAGTGGGTTGACTGGAGTGATTTGATAATACCCGTTAGGATTTATATACTTGATGTGACTGATAATTTGCAAGCACCACATGGTTTCAAAACCTTGAGTACTAAGCATAATTGCAAGGTAAGTAATTTTAATGGTGACGAGTTCATCAGTCTGAATCCGAATTCAACTTTGAAACATAATAAAATACACTTATGCTGTTGTGTGCATGTAAGCAACAAGTATTGTCTTGTTACAGGTTGAATATGATGTTCAGTCTTGTAGCAATAGCCATAAGGATAAGACTAAATGCATTGATGTCAAAAGAACAAGCCTCCCAATGGCAAGAGGTGGCTATGTCATTTATGGTACGGCTCATCAACATGCAGGTGGAATAGGTTCAACTCTGTACGGACAGGTGATAATTGATTTCTATTTTTTGGCCTTTAATTAGTTACTAGTGTATATGAAAAATTTAACATGGAAGAGGGTCATGGTAAGTAATGATTCTCATCTAGCAAATTAAAGTGGGGTTGCAAATTGCAGCTTTGCTTGAGCCTTTATAAGCAGTACAATATGTGCTAAAAAATGGGTGAATGGGTTTTTACTGATTAGTAAGGGAGTTGTTTACTTTCATTGGTGTATAGAGAACCTTTCTTCAATAAATGTGATTTGGAGGGTGGTAGGGGTTAAAGTCTAGACAATTCCTCAGAGCACATGTGCCGTTAAACTAGTCTATACTTTAAATCAATAATATCCACACAACTTGTGATATCATAGCAGTATAGCTTGTTTTCTGAAACTAGCTAGTGAGATGGTTTCAGGATGGAAGGGTTATATGTTCCTCAATACCAAGCTATGGAACTGGGAAGGAGGCAGGGAATGAAGAAGGCTACATTGTAGGGATGAGCACCTGTTATCCTCAACCTGGTTTGGTCAAAATAATTGACGGAGAAACTGTAACTCTGGAATCCAACTACAGCCGTGGCAGCCGTCCACATACTGGAGTTATGGGGCTCTTCTATCTCTTGGTGTCAGACCAACTTCCTCAGCATTCTTCTCGTTCTTCATTATTTAAAAAAATAGACAAAATATTTTAGATAGTAAGTGGAGTCTCCTGTACGTATATAAAAAACTATCATTGTCTAGTCTGGTGAGAACCTTTACTTTGCTCTTATCTTAAAAAATAATGCAGTGGATGTATTGTTCTATGTGATATATATATATATATACACACACATATATATAATGAAGAGTAAATAAGCAAGTATACTTTGTGCTACACTTCGTATTTTTCCCCTTTTCCTTTGGTCTCGTATGCTGGTGTGACGATAAAAGTTTAAAAAAAGAATTTAAGCATGCAGATAACCTTGATTCTCTCTACTTTGAAGACCTCGCTGATGAGGAGGATCATGAAATTGTTCAACAAAAACTTTCAACCCTTATGAAATCCTTGGGCATTTCATCTTTGTCAGAGGTGTGATCACTCCTCTTCCTCTTTTCTGAGTAGAGTCCTGGGTACTCTGAATTTACTTCACCCTTGAGAGCCTTACCATTTTTCTCACGAGAGAACTTGCTCTTTGTCTAAATATATATGTGAAAGTTGTTTACAATTATCAATAAACAGATGTTTGGCCCCCTGAAAATCCTAGAACTATAATTGTTTTCAGCTTATAGGTCCTTCAGTAGGCATTGGCTTGATAAGTTGAACTATGTCTTGAATGCAAATTTAACAGTCGCTTATCTGTTAAAATAATAATATATTAATATTTTCAAGCCGTTTACTTTAGAAAGAATTATTAATATGCTTTTGGTTTCAAATATTACATCTTTGCATTACGTGCATGTTGTAACTCGTGAAGCAATATATTATGGTCTTGCTGATTGTGGCTTGACGGCATCATTGATAAGCTGGGCTGTTCCATATGCACAGCGCTACATACATGAAGTTCATAATGATAAATCTTTTCAATTGAAGCAGTCCGGATTTGATTTTCTGAATCACCTAAGTTGTCGTTGTTGAGAAGCTGTTTTACAGGAATGTCATAAAGGGTTGTGGGAGCATATCAAAAAAGCGAGTTAATGTGGTTGTCTTCAGCAAGTATGTTAAAAGATGCCGTTTTTTCCTACAAACACATGCACACTCGCACACTTACTTTTTAAGCATTGGCTGTATTAGTTGCAACTCTCCTAATTTTTTATGTTATAATTGGTTTTTTTTGGGCCTCCAGAGCCTATATCCTTATACACTTGTATGTCCATTTTGTCGCAGGAAAACATTTTGTACACCACCCAAGACACAGATAATCATTCTTTGTTTATGGAGCTTTCTCGTCTGTTATTTGATGGCACTCCTGAGTTGCACTTAGCCAATTTCCTTCACATCATAACAACAATGGCGGAATCTGGTTCCTCGAAGGAGCAAATAGAATTTTTCATATCAAATAGCCAAAATGTGCCTGAAATTCCTTATGAAGAATCAGTTTGGACTCTCTCTTCATCTTCATTGGAGACTGATAATATACAACCATCAGGTCATGTACCAAAAGCAAACGAACAGATCTTTCCGAAAAGGAAGACTGGAGTAAACTCAAACTGGCCACCTGTTGACTGGAAAACTGCACCAGATTTTAGTTATGCCCGTGCGAATGGATTCAAGACACAGGCTGCCCAGACTAGTGGCTATATTGAAATGAAGAACCATGATTTTGAAAGCCTCAATTCCTTAACAATTTGTGCAGATACAGGGACGGTTGATGCTAACTAGACTATTGAAGATGGGCCGGCAGAAAGTACAGCAGCAATGGTGTTGCATGAAAGTGACAACTTGGAAGATCAGTCCTGCCAAGATAGCTATCAGACCTCTTCTAATCCTCATACTGGTTGTGATGCTGTTAGTTTAGAAGAAGCTCTTTATGAGCCTGGCATGAGTTCAGCTTTTAGCAAGAGAGATCAGCTCATAACTGGCACATCTGATGCAGCACAAGCAAGGGCAACAGGAAGACTAGGTGAGCTTCTTTCGCACAAATACTTTGTCGGGAAAGTTGTAAGGCCGCTGTAAAGCGGGTTTATGAAACTAAAGAAACGGGGCTTCCATTTGACTTAGTCATCGGGGAGGGGCCCAATACAAAGTCCATAGAAGTTAAAGCAACAAGATCTTCAAGCAAAGATTGGTTCAATATAATAGTGAGAGAACGGTAGTTTGCCACCGATAAAGGTGAATCTTTTAGCATTGCACATGTAGCATTACTGGAAAATAATGTTGCTAGGATTACGATTTTCAAAGATCCAGTGAAGCTATGCTAGCAAGGTGTGCTGCAATTGGCTGTTGTGATGCTAAAACAACGAGAGTTCGCTGCCATCTCTTGGCTGCTACCCTTGTTAGACCCTGTGGTGAGGAAGTACCTGGCTAGGCCACTGGGGAATCTAGAGAAATAGCGGGGTTCACTTCACCCTCTGTTCATTTCATTTGAATCGCACTTCGGCAGAGACTCTTCAGCATTTATTGACCCACGGTTTCATTATTTCACATGCCTGAAGTTTGGGTGTCTCTCCACCGGAAAAAGATGCCCGATGCAACGTGGGAATTTTGGCATCACTGTGTTTATGGTTTAAGCTAATTCACAGTCACACTTTTCTTAGTTCTCATCCAGGTGATCGATCTTCAAAAGGGTTCAGTGAGATAAGGGTTTGAAGGGTTCGGCCAGATGAGGATCTAGGCCACTAGATGGTTGAAACCTGACCCACCCCCTTGTATGCTTCAACAGAAATCACACAGGTAAATTGATGTAATAGAAATCTCTAGTAAAATGTTCACAATAAAATATACTCCTCCGGTACTTAATATAGGACTTAATTATTGAGTTGGTTTTGGTCCTAAATATAAGACTCATTTCTCATATTTATCAATTTTCTCTAAATTATCCCTATGGATACTTTGTCAACTATAATCAAGTAGAAGAAGGAGATGGGGTATTAAGAAAGATGATTATGGTGTTTTAGGAAAAATGCATCACATTTCTCATAATTAACCAACTTACCTAACTTCCTTAATCTAATCAAATTAGTTAAATAGGTTTTATATTAAGAACTAGAGGAGTATTATATAGTCCGTTTTAAGGATTGGGGACTTATCCATTCAATAACTTTACACTGGATTTTCCCAAATGGGGTACAAAAATTGTCATCTCTGGGTAGTTTCTCCTACCAAAAGATACCTGTAACATTGTAGGGTGTCAACTTCTTTTTTTTTTTTTGGATCAATATTTAAGACGTGGAAAGATGCGAATTAGCATCCTTCCTAAAATGAATGTAAATATCTTTGTATTGTGAAAGTGTTAATTATCAATTTTCTGATTCCAAAATTTATGCAGAAGAAAGCTTTATATTCAGCTCTGGTCTATATTATATTCAATGGTTTTTTAACTTGACTTTGTTCTTCTTAAGACTTATTCCGTCCATAACATTCTCAATATGATAAACTTTATATTTATCTGGTTCTTAATATAAGGCCTAATTAACTAATTTAAGTAGATTAAGAATATTCGTTAAATTAGTTAATATGATTTTTAATTTTTTAAAAATATTTTGAGCATCTTTTTTAATTCTCTTCTTTTCTCTCCTGTTTGATTATTGTTGGGGAAATATCAATCAGGTTAATTTGAGGAAAAAAATTGATAAACATGTAAAATAAATCTTATATATAAGACTAACATTAACTTTCTAATTAGTTCTATATTAAATATTGGAGGAGTAATATTTTAATGCAATAGCGGATGATCTGTACTGTGCAATAAGAAAAAGATATGTAATTGCTTCTAATGCTTTCTCAATTTGTACAAATAAAATATTGTTTTGGCCATTGTTAGAACTGAACTTGCTAGATATATTGAAAATCTGATGTGTCGGACTGTTGGAACTCAAACTAAATTAAACTAAATGAGAATTTGTAAACAATGCCATGGACGGAATTTATAAACAATGCCGTGGACGCTTAGGAGACCCTTCTTCCCTACATTCCTTTTCATAGCCCAATCTTCCCCATTTTCCTTAGTTCTTAAACTAGGTAATCTTCATGCCTAAGTAACGAGGAGATTGAGTATTATTATTACTATTTTTATTATCCTCTAATTCTACTGTTCATTTTATTTCTGTTAATCTTCGTCTTTTTTCCTCCATACTTAACTTATGCTACTGTGACTCTTTAACTTTGTATGCTTATATTTCTCAATATCATTTTGCCTTTCCCTCTAAAAAAAGTAATATTTTAATTGTTCCTCTTAACTTCTACATGTTCGTTAGTTCTTGGGTGGCATTTTTTTTTAATCAGCATTTTAAGAGGCGTTGTAATATAATTATAATTGGCTATTAAAAATGTTGAATATTGACCTTAGTTATCGAAAATAAAACACAAATATGGTGCAATGATAATGTTTTTAAATTGTTCTAGTTTTGGTCACAATGGAAAATATATGTGTTTTACGAAAATTAAATACAAATATGTCTCATGAATTATATAAGTGGATTCAGGGTTAAAAATACCAACGAAGTTATACCAAAAGTTCATCCAGTACTACTAATCCAAGTTTACAAATGGCACAAAAATGCTAGTGCCGTTTAAATGAGTTAACGTCTATTACCTTTGCAGTGTGACCCATGATACCAAAATATCCCAACTAAAACAAAAAAAAACTTAAGGGTAAAAGTTCACCAAACATCATGTAATTTTTACTGAAAGGGTTATCGTATTAAAATGTGTTAGAAATTATTAATTAAAATAATTCGTGTAAAAAATTAAGTTTGAGTTGAATTGCCCTTCAATGATAAGTTATTGAGTAAAATACTCTAACTTTCTTAATGTTTTGCCCTAATTACATGGACTCCATTCCATTTTGAAAATATACACTTAAGTCCAACCTATTAACTACGTTAAGAATATTATAAAAATATATTTAAATAAATTTTATTTACTAATCTACCTTCATCATGCTGTATCATTAATCTTGAGCAAAATTCTTTGAAAATTTTAAGACTTTTTCTCTTTCTCTTTTAGAAAATTAATTATTCGTTTATTTTTTACCATATTAGGCAGAAAATTCAAGATATTTAATTAACATAGATATTAAAAATTTGATTAACTTTGTTAATTAATAACACTTAACTAAATATGTTTATATATGTTTGTAGCAAAACATTTGTTTTACAAATTTTAAATTTAAATTTAGTTGGTTGATATAATCTCTCAAACTTATATCATTTATATCATATAATTAAATTGAATTAAAAATCTAAAAATATCAAATGAATACTAATCAAAGGATCAAAATGTACATGTTTATTTTGTTGACTTTATTTGAAAATTCTTTGAAATTAAAATACTTTTGAAAAAGTAATAATAGTGTTAAAATATAAAACACAATAAGTTATAAAAATATTTAATTATTATGTATAATATTTATTCTATTAAAATATTTTTAGCCATAACAATTAATATAATAACTATAGCAGACTGGTTTTTATTAAAAAAAAAGGAAAAAAATTGGCTGATTAAGAAATTTTTTTATTAAAAACATTAATAACCTTTTTTAATTATAAAGATTGAGGACATAAAAATTTATTATAATTAATAACCTTAAAAGTTGGAGGTATTTTGATACTTTTATTGAAAGTTATATGGTATTTGGTGAACTTTTAGTATAAATTTATTGATATTTTTTACCCTTAACTTTTTTTATTTTAATTAGGGGTATTTTAATACTTTCCTTAAAAATATTGTAGGTTCCACTAGAAAGGTAATGGACGTTAGCTCATTTAAACGATGCTGGCATTTTTGGAATATTTTTAAACTTGGATTAGTAAATTTTAACTGAATTTTTTGTTTAACTTCATAAGTATTTTTGACCTTCAACTTTATATAATCTTAATATTTACAAATTGATCCGTTATTTGCAAGTTAAATTTACAAATTAATGTTTACAAGTCAAATTTTTATATGTACACATACAAGTCAAGTTGCCTCATTTGCAAAACTGGGCGAGGGGTTTTGAACGTAGACTAGGTAATATGCCCTCGACGATGGCAGAGATGCAGGCTATACGCACGGGTTTGCAAACAATTAAAACTCACAAGGGCGAAACTCCACGCACATTCAGTGGAAGCTTTTCACACGATGAAGGACTGTAGATCCTTTAATTCGAGGTTTAGTACGAGTAAAATAAGAAAAAGAGAAAGGATTTAATATAAAAAAATTTTAAAAATACTCTTCTGATCCTTAATATAAAACCTAATTTTTGAGTTGGTTTTAATCCTAAATATAAAAATTATTTTTCATATTTATCAATTTTCTCTAAATTATCCCTATAGATACTCTCTCAACCATAATCAAGTAAAAGAGGAAGATGGGGTATTAAGAAAGATGATTATGATATTTTAGAAAAAATGTGTTATTTTTTTTTATAATTAACTAACTTACCTAATTTTTTTAATTTAATCAAATTAGTTAAATGGGTTTTATTATTAAAGACCAAAAGAGTAATATTTTAAAATTTTAATAAATAAAAGATGCAAAATAAAAGAATAATAAAAATTAATTACGATCTTTTTACTCCACTTTTCTAATTCTTTTAAATTTAACTCGTTTTTTTTTGTCGTTTTCCTCCTTGATGAGATTTGGGAATTGACGGCGCTGATTTACCGAGAATGCATTAAATTTGCAGACCCCATAGCTCGTAGGCCTCATGCTTCAAGTTAAGACTTTGAGCTTATCCTATCGCCACCTACTGCTTGCTCGGAACAAATCAGGAGAGGTAAAAAGTGTCCATCCTTCTCCTTCTGATTGCGGAGTGTCTTTATATATAAATCCTCCAGCGTTGCTTGCCTTTTTGTTCCGAAAAAATGTGATGAAATAAAAATATATCCTTTGCATTTATTTATAAATTCTGAGACTTAATTGGGATTTATTTTTTGTTGGTTATTTATTTATAAATTTTTAATGCTTTTTTTCCCATAATTCATCGCGCAAACTAATTGTGAAAAATAACAGTTGCCTTTTCAATTATATTTTAATGGCATTGCACTCGTTGAGAAGTTAGGATAGTCATTATTATGGAGAAAATAATTTTTTTAAAGCATTTTCCATAATTCTTCTCACAAACTAATAGTGAAAAATAATAGATGCCTTTTTAATTACTACTTCCGGTTCTAATTATAACTTCTCATTTGTAGATTATAAACAATATCTTATAATTAAGATTTTTAGAGGTAATATTGCACTATTTGATTAGGATTAGGATAACTGGATAAGATAAAAGTACGCCTAACACTATAAACTATATTTTGAGATGTCCAAGTTATTAAGCGATGCAACTTTACTCCTAAATTATTAAAATGGGTTCAATTTCACCCTAATTAAACTAAGGGAGGCAAAGGGTTCATTTTCTCTCCCATCCATCACCTTCACAGCAGCGTCTAGCTCTCCCTGAGTTAACAGAAAATTGAGCTGCACATCACATAAAAAAAAAAAATATTACACGTAAAGAAAGATAAATTACACATAAAAAAAGTTAAGTTGTACAAAATAGAAGTTAAGTTGTATAAAATCTTTAGTCCCTTTTACCAATTAAATTTTTAATGGGAGATTTATTCCCGATTTTTCCTTTATTTTTTATGGGGTATTTATTTATAAATTTTTAATGCTTTTTCCATTATTCCTTACGCAAACTAACGGTGAACGATAACAGGTGCCTTTTTAATTATATTTTAATGATATTGCACTCGTTGAGAATTTAGGATAGTCATTGTTATGGAGAAAATAATTTTTTAATGCATTTTCCATAATTGTTCTCTCAAACTAACGGTGAAAAACAATGGATGCCTTTTTTTAATTATATTTTAAAGATAATATTGCTAGGACAAGGATATTGCACTACTTGATTAGGATTAGGATAAGGTGAAAGTACACCTAACATTCTAACCTATTTTTTGAGATGTCTAAATTATTAGGTGTTGCAACTTTACTCCTAAATCATTAAAATGGTTGAATTTCACCCTATACTAAGAGAGGCAAACGGTCCGTTTTCTCACCCATCCATCACGTTCACAGCAGCGTCTGGCTCTCCCCATCTCAGCTTTCTCCATCCTATGGTCTAATCGGTGTGAGTCTCTCCCCTCGGTCGTTGTCGAAGAGGATGACGGTGACGACCCAAAGCCTCCACGCGTCTCTGATCCTCCTTACCAGTGGCTGTTCATGGGTTTAGTCGCCTGAATGCGTAATTACTCCAAGATACGGAAAAATAAGAGTTAATGCTCCAATCGTACATTGAGATAGAAAAGCTAGGATAGAAGGAATTGAATAATCGAAGCACAGTGCTCTGCATTTTTTTATTGAATATATAGACAAGAATACAATAGCTAGAGGACAAAAGGTATTACAAAGAATGAGCAGAAAAATAATTGAGAGCCTGTTAAAGCTAGACATGTGTAAAGGTCAGAAGATTTTAGACAAGCTATAGCTGATACAGTAGTGGAAGATATAATATTGGAATGAAGTTTACTTAATGATCACTGGAAACTCACTGTATATTTATACTGAACATGCAAGTTTACAGGAGCGATTAGGTTACAACTAACTCAGGGTTTACAGCCGGCAAATCTCCTAGATTCAGATGCACAAATAACCACATGATTAACCAGTGCTTATTGCAGCTAATCACTAACAGCAGTAATCTTAAATTCTGTATAGGTGCATCCAAAGGACTCTTGGCTCCAATTACATCTAACATCCCGATTTTTTTTTTTATGGTATATTTAGCACCCTAATTTTATTCTTTTGATGCATCCAACACCATGATATTATTTATTTAGTTACATCTGTCACCCTAATCTTCAGAGTGCCGATGGATTAAAAAACAAATAATAGGGTATTGGACGTACCATAAAAAAGATTGATGTGCTGAATCTGAGAAAAAAATGATTTGTATGCAGAGGTGTTGGATGCACTTTTACCCAATAAGGTAAATATATTCTGTATACCAAGAAAGCAGCACAAACAAGGTTAACGACCCCGGGATGGACAGTGCATAAGCAGAATAGTGAGTTTATTATGCTGCAAAGAACGAAGCTTAAAATCGTTCAAGTTCAATGTTGCATTTTTATGCCATTTGCAAACTAATAAAGAAGTTTTAAGAAAAGAGACACTCCTTATTTTTCCGGATTTACTTGACTGACCATCATTACTAGACTAACAGTCCAATTAAATGTTTATATAATTGCAGAGAAACTATCGGTTCTACGTCATGCTTATTTCAACTTCAATCATTTTGTCCATATATATAGTCTCTGTGTTTTTTTTGTTTTTTTCAAGTATCAATCTTGGCCGCAGTGGTGTTAACCTTGTGAAGGCAATGACACAAGACTATGTGTAAGATTTTCTCATAATATACTGTTTCATGGCAGTCTGGTTTGTTGGGCGCCTCACATACAGCTTTCCATTTGTATCTCATTTTACCCAAAATGTACAGAAGGTACAAATCTCTAATTACTTAAGATGCCTGATGCTTCTCAATTTATTTTACCCAGGTGCTAGGGGAATAGTTTTTGTTACGGCTTTGCTTTTTTGGCTGATTCATCTAGTTGGAAGTGTAACATCTATATTACTATAGCTCCGGCCATTTTATGCATTATATGGTGTTACAGTTAGAAGCTTATTAAGATGTTAAAAGTGGGGGGAAATTACTTCAAGATTTCACAATGCGATGATGACAATTCTGTTGAGAGATTTAAGCTGAAACATGATCGTCTTTTTTATTATTGTTGTGTGCGTATCTTAGTTTAGCTTTTATTTTTTCCTTTGGTATAACTCATTGAGTCAATTTGGATTTGAGGCTAATTTCTGTCAAGCTGAAAATATTAAGATTATAACTTAGAGTGCAGTTCCTGAGATTTGAACTTACGTTTTTCTCCTAACCAAAATCATGCCGTTTGTCATCTCAACCAATAATGATTTGTTTACATTAGAAAGAGGGTCTACTTTTTTTCATGTTGATGACAATAACTAGGTTGTCGTGAGTCTTCTATGTATGTTTTTTCTCTAGGTAGATGCTGCTGCACGTCAATACTAATCATGCATCTAAACGTATCCAGAGGCATCCAATTAATCGAACACCTTGTCTGAAATTTTGGAGACAGGCGGATTTGTTTCCACGTGGATCCCTAGTACCCTCATCCTGTAATTTCATTCAACGAAGCACTTGTCTCTATCATATTGATTTCATCTTCCCCTGTTCACACCGACAATCTTCCAGATTCATCATATGCGTCATGCCTTACAGCACAAAAAAAGCTCTTCGTCCGTTGTGGAATTGTTCATCACGCAACGTAACGCAACATGATTGAAAATTAAAGTGTCGTGCAGCTGTCAGCTGCCTTACCTGTGTGTGCCTATATATATAGATATAATTTGTGTAGTGTAAGTGCAACTCCAATTTCTTAGTTTCTTGCAAATTCAGATCAGTCACTCTTCTAGTCCTTCCTCTGCAGTGGTATGTTATTTCTTCTTTGTGCTTGCTAGTTCGTTAAGTTCTATTATATTTCTACTACATATACTACTTCTTATCCTTAATATAAGAGTCAGTTGATTAATTTGAGTAAATTAAAAAAATTAGTTAAGTTAGTTACTTGTAATAAATAGGTGTTGTCTTCCTTAAAATGCTTTTATTAATCACGTATATTAGCTAAAACTATCACTTGATGAAATCTTTAATATATGTAACTACTACAAGGACTACCTTGAGAAAAAAAATGAATATAAGAGATAAAGTGGATTGGAGTATTATATTTGAACTAAATTGAATGTCAAACTAACTTTTATATTAAAGATCAGAGCTAGTATATAGGAGACTGGACGCAGCACACTTCACATCTGCTTCTGTTTTAGGTTCTGTTATCTAATGATTTCCCATATGATGATGTTGCAGAGAAACAACATGCGACTTTCGCAAGCTTATATATTTTTATCAGCAATACTATTGCTCTTATCACTGTCTCATGCTTTATGGAAGAAGGAAAGTAATGTCAAGGAAGCCGTTTTTCTTTCCCCCAAGTTTGAATTAGAACCAGGATCAGTTCAAAATAGCTATTACTATGATATAGGCTTCCCAAGAGGCCATATCGCAATAAAGAGTTTCAATGGTGAAGTGGTTGATGAAAAAGGCAATTCTGTCCCTCTTCATGAAACTTATCTCCATCATTGGCTTGTTGTTAGATACCATCAACGTAAAGAGGTGACAAACACAGGTAATAATGAGTCAGATTCAGATCAAGTGATTGTAGGAAATAGCGGCTTATGTCCTGCAGGTACTCTTGGACAGTATTTTGGTATTGGATCCGAAACACGCGGCACAAATACTGATATACCAGAACCTTTTGTGATAGAAGTAGGCAATCCTGCAGAAATTCCAAATGGGTATGAGGAGAAATGGATGCTTAATGTCCATGCCATCGATACCAGAGGTGTTGAAGATAGGTTGGGGTGCATTGAGTGCAAATGTGATCTTTATAACATCACAAAGGATGAATATGGCCGGCCTTTGAGGCCCGATTATATAGGCGGTTTGCTGTGTTGTTATCATAATACTCAGTGCAGGGTAAAGAAAGGCCTTCAGCTACCAAGGAGAAGCCTCTACTTAAGATATACAATTAAGTGGGTTGACTGGAGTGATTTCATGGTGCCTGTTAAGATTTATATACTTGACGTGACCGACACTTTGCAAGCACCACATGGTTCTAAAGCCTTGGGTACAAAACATAATTGCAAGGTAAGTAATTTTTATGGTAACAAGTTCATTAGTCTGAATCCGAATTCAACTTAAAACATAATAAAATACACTTTGTTATTGTGTGTATGTAAGCAACAAGTATTGTTTTGTTACAGGTTGAATATGATGTTGAGTCTTGCAGCAATAGCCATAAGGATAAGAGTGAATGCATTGATGTCAAAAGAACAAGCCTCCCTATGCCAAGAGGTGGCTATGTCATTTATGGTGTGGCTCATCAACATGCGGGTGGAATTGGTTCAACTCTGTATGGACAGGTGATAGTTGATTTCTATTTTTCAGCCTTTAATTGCTAGTGGTGGTATAGGCTGGAGCCCATGCAGGTTGGTAAAAGGACCATCTCATGGTGGGCTCGAATTTAGCCAGACTGTCCCACCAAGGAATGGGTTGGCCCGCCAACCTCCATTTTTTTTTATAAGTTTTTTGTATTTCTACATATATATTTTTAAAATTTTTAAATTAAATTACAAACTTTTATAGACTAAATTCTATTTATTTTTATATTTTCATATAATTATATAATTAAATTAATCTCAAAACTTGAAATATAAGCATATACTTTATTTTTAATAGTTATTTTATTAATATAAAAATGTTAAAACAATAAAGAAAATGATAAAATGATAAAACTTTTTCTTATTAAAATACAAATTAAAATTAAAAAAATTATAATTGAAAAAAAAGGTAGGCTCGCAGGCTAGCTTGTGACGAGTTGTGAGTTGATGAGTGCGGGCTGAAAAGGACCACATCCAAACAGTTTCTATTTTCTTCAACCTAACCCTCCACTTTTTGGGAGTTGGTGGTTGCATATTGCCGGCTCTATTAATTATTTACTAGTATCTATGAAAATTTTAACATGGAAAAGGCCAAAAGGGTCCTAATAAGTAATGATTCTCATCCAGCAAATTAAGTAGGGTTGCAAATTTGCAGCTTACTATGTTTCTCTATATTTGAGCCTTTGTAAGTAGTACAATATGTGCAAAAAATGGGTGAATCGGTTTTTACTGATTAGTAAGGGAGTTGTTTATTTTCATTGGTATATAGAAAACCCTCCTTCAATATTTGTGATTTGGAGGGTGGTAGGGGTTAAAGTCTAGACAATTCCTCAGAGCTCATGTGCCATTGAACCGGTCTGTAACTTTAAATCGATAATATCCACACCGCTTGTTGTAACATAGCAATATAGCTTGTTTTCTGAAACTAGCTAGTGAGATGGTTTCAGGATGGAAGGGTTATATGTTCTTCAACACCAAGCTATGGAACCGGGAAGGAGGCAGGGAATGAAGAAGGCTACATTGTAGGAATGAGCACTTGTTATCCTCAACCTGGTTCGGTCAAGATAATTGATGGAGAAACCTTAACTCTGGAATCCAACTACAGTCGTGGCAGCCGTCCGCATACTGGAGTTATGGGGCTCTTCTATCTCTTGGTGTCAGAACAGCTGCCAGACCAACTTCCTAAGCATTCTTCTCGTGCTTCATTATTTGAAAATATAGACAAAATATTTTAGATAGTAAGTGGAGTCTCCTTTACATACATACATACATACATACATATATATATATATATATATCATTGTCTAGTCTGGTGAGAACTTCTACTTTGCTCTTATCTTGAAAAATAATGTAGTGGATGTATTGTTCTATGTGGGGTGTGTGTGTAATGTGTGTAATGAGAGTAAATGGGCAAGTATACTTTGTTCCACACTTTGTATTTTTCCCCTACGTCTTTTGGCCCTTGTGAAATGTAGAAACAAAGAAACTATGGCCAAATTAAATGGGTTAATATAATCCTTCATGTCTCGAGTTTATAAGTTCTTCATGTCTCAAACCATAGGTTTTAGTCCCTCAAAAGACAAAACAGTATTTACTAAATTGTATAATCAATGTTTAAATAAAAGAAACTTAAGAGATCAAAACCTATAATTTTAAACTTAAAGAATCAAAATCAAAATAAAGATAAACTTGATAGATCAAAAATTGTTTTTGTGTGTGTGTGATGGATTAAAAATTGTATTAATACAAATTAAATATTTTGTGTGTGATGGATAAAAATTGTATTAATTCAAATTAAATATTTTGTGTGCGCGGTTGCGTGTGCGTGCGCGTGTGTGTGAAGAAACTAAAGAGAAGTGGCAATATTAAACAAAGGCTTGTGTAGAATGAATCATGGCAACTTCTTTGAAAATAACATTGGAAAGTTTTATTGGTTGGGTTCCCTTGGTAATCAATGATCAATATGTTGAGTCTTCTTTTCGCCATAATCTTGAGATCCCGCGCGAGGTTGTGATTGGTGAACTTGCGAGAATAATTTTCTATAATTGCGAGTATAAAATTAATGATGCATTTATCGAAGGCATATTAAATATGACAGATATCTTTTATTTTAAGAGTATTTATAGCTTTTTAATTATGAATCTGCATTTAAAAAATTAATTAACAGAGTGTTTTTGTTAAGGGAGAAAGTAAACATATATCTTTCTTTACATCTGTTGTTGACCCATACGATTCTCAACTTTTTTTAATAAATTGTATAAGTTATATATTAACTTGATATTCATTTTATCAATATTTATGTATGAAATTAATGATGCATTTATCTAGAACATATCATATATAGCAAATATTTGTTATTTTAAGAATATTCAGAGTTTTTTTTTTTTAATTATGGACATGTGCGTGGAAAGTCTATGAATTGTTTTTACTAGATGAGAAGCAAACATGTGTCCCCTTTTGTCTTTAGATGCTTCCCTTTAGACTTGTGCAATTTTCTTTTTTTGTTTTAATAAATTGTATTATTTATACTTTGACATATTATTGATTTTATCTTTTATATTGAGCTATGAAATCAATAAATTTATCTTAAACATATCATATATAGCAAATATTTCTTAACTTAAGAATTTTAAGAGTTTTTTTTAATTATGCATGTGCAGGTTTAGACATTGGTTTTTATGTGAGAAAGTGCACATATATGTGGTGTTTTATGACTACGGTTAATCTATGCAATTATATCTTTTTATTAATAAATTGTATTATTTATATATAGATTCGTCATTCATTTTATTTTTACATTTATTTATGAAATCAATGATAAATACATTCATAACATATTATATATTACAAATATTTATATATAATATATTCATAACTTGTCATAAAAATATTTTATTTTTATGAATTTTACGAGCTTTTTTAAATATGGATTTGCACTTAAAAAGTTAATGAATTGTTTTTATTAAGTGAGAAAGTAACTATATGTCCTTATTTTTATGCGCGACTTTCACTTTCTTTAATAACTTTTAATATTTATATATCCACTTGCTATTTGTTTTATATTTATATTTACATATGAAATTAATTATAAATTTATTTAGAATATATCGTATATAAAAACTTTTTTTTTTTTACTTTTAGAATGTTCGCAATGTTTCTGGATGTGGGCTCTAAAAGTTTAGGAATTGTTTTCACTAAGTGAAAAAAAGAAATATCAGCTCCAAAAAAAAAAAAGTGACAAAAGGAAATATATATGTCTCGTTGTTTTGTCTTCTTTTAGACTTGTGCCATTTTAAATTAATTGCATTATTTATATTTTGACTTGCTATTTTTTTTTTTTTTTGATATTGATGTATGAAATCAATGATAAATTTATTAAAACACATCACACATAGCAAACATTTTTTAGTTTAAGAATTTTAAGAGTTTCTTAGTCATGTGTTTGCACTTGAAAAGTTTAGAAATTATTTTTACCAACTAACAAAGTGAATATATATTTCTTTTTCATGCCTATTGTTGACCTAGGAGATTTTTGCTTTTTTTAAAAAAAAAAACAAATTGCCTATTCATATTTTGACTTGCTATTGATTTTCTTTTTAATAGATGTATGAAACTAATGATCAATATATACATAACATATCATAGACAGCAAATATTTGTTATTTTATGAATTATAAAATTTTTTTTTAACTATGGGTTTGCCCTTAAAATTTGTTAGACAAAAAAGGAGGTAATAGCGGAATGCAAATATCTGAGGTACAGTGCAATAGTGCTCAATATTCATTAAATAAAGAATATGCAGCGCAAGTTGCAAAGGAGTTTGTTAATGGGAGGGGTCATGTAGCCCTAGGATAAGAAAGAATCTACTAAATAAATAAAAAAATTCTTTCATATTAGCTAATTATAATTATACTCTAACAACCCACCCCTAAACGAGAGGGTGGAACAAGCAGCCCGAGTTTGCATCGAAAATTATGAAACTGAGTGCAGTTGAGAGGTTTTATCAAACAATCTGCAATCTGATAAGATGAGGGCAAATATCGAACATCAATGCAACCATGCTGTACCAAATCATAAATAAAATGAATGTCAATCTTGATATGCTTGCTCCTTCCATGTTGAACACGATTTACAGCTAGAGCCTTGGGACTTATATTATCACACCACATCACTTATAGTTGTTTTAAAGAAAAGCCAAATTTAGATAAGAGAGAGGCTATCCACTTAACTTCGATTGCTCCATCTGCCAAGGCTTTATATTCAGACTCAGTATTAGAACAAGATACCACTCTTTCCTTTCTTGATAACCATGAAATCATGGAATTACCAAAATAAATGCACATGCCAGCACCTGATTTTCTGTCATCAATGTTAGCTGCCCACTTTGCATCAATATAAAAAAACAACCTCAACGAGTTTAATGGTTTCAAAAAACAGACTATAACTAAATGTTCACTTCAAATATTGTATAATGCATTTAAGACCTTGAAAATGGATATCTCAAGGAGCAGATATAAACTAACTGAGTTTGTTGACAGAATAATAAGCTATATACGGCCTGGTAGTGGTCAAATACTATAGTGAAACTATAGCTTGTCGATAAACAACTGGATTTTTCATCAAAGTTATTTCATTAACGGTGTACTGGCATCTTGTAACCATTGGAGTTGAAACTAGATCACAGTCAAGCATATCAAATTTTTTTAACAAATCAAGAATATATTTAGCTTAACTCGAAAAGATACCAGAACTAATACAATAGACCTCAATTCCCATAAAATAATATAAGTTTCCTAGATTTTTAAGGGAAAAACAACTGAGTTTTTCCACAAAATGTCTCAAATAAGCAAAGTTTTTGTGAGTCACCAAAATATCATTCACATAGATCCAAATAAAGACAATTAATTTGTTTTCATGAAAATAAAACAGAGAAGGATCACTCCTTGAATTCTAAAATACCCACTGAAATAACACAACCCTCAATCTATGAAACCAAGCACATGGTGCTTGTTTCAAACCATAAATAGCCTTTCCCAACTTACAGACACAATTGGACCGATTTTGATCAACAAAACCTTCAAGCTGCTTCATATAAACACTTTCTTATAGGTGAACATTCAAAAATGCATTGTTGACATCAAGCTAACGAATCTCCTAATTGTATGTCATTGCTATTGTTAAAATTATATGAATTGTGTTTGGTTTTACTACTGGACTAAAAGTCTCTCCATAATATACACTCGGTGTTTGCTAAAATCCTTTCACTACCAGCCACGCCTTGTGTTTCAAGATAGAGCCATTGGCATTAAACTTATTTTTCAACACCCATTTGCTATCAATCAAACACTGGGACGTGTACAAAACCAGTGACTATGTAACAGCCCCGTAACAAGTACACAAATACTTAATTCCACAATAATAATTAAGTCTTTAAAAATCAATAAATAGAAAAGAGTTAGCTAAAAACATTTAGGTAGTAACTATGATAGGAAAAATAAATCATATAATTAAGAACTACTATAGTTATATAAAAGACCTCGCTAATTACTTTAAAAAGTCAACCATGGTAGGAAGGACAAAACTAATCAAATAGAAATCTACCACCATCATTAACAATTTATATCCATAATAGAGCAGTAGCCACTATTTCAAAATAGCAAAGATAATTAATGTAATAAGAAATAATCAACACTTGATTTTTCAGATGTGTATCAAATCCATCATGAATCTCTATGATCCCAAAAATACAACTAAAACCAGTCATGAATGGGTTAGAGCATTTGAAGTCCACCAAAATAACTACCACTACTGCCCATATCAATCACAATCAAATAACATTCACATATATCCAAAAAGGGCTTCGCCCAATAGCACAAGTCTAGGATGCAGCGGAAAAAATAAACATATGTTAAGTTTGACAAAAAGGCCCTAAAGTTGGGTAATATACATTAGTCAAAGCATATAAGACAAAACAGAGGCTATACAGAGTGGAAAGGAAAACTCGAGCCACAAACAACTTCCCCTTGGGACCAACACCTAAACCCTTGCCTGAGAAAAAATATTAAATAAACATGGGGTGAGTCAAATTGATCCAGTAACCACAATTCCAATTCAACAGGTATACATGGAGTGATTACAAGATAGTTAAGTAGGAAAAGTATAATTTCAAATAACACATAATGTAAACATCTTTATAGAAAACAATATATATAATAATTTCAAAAGTAACTTGCATGCACAAAACTTCATCAACCATCCTTATAACTTTCTTGTAACCTCTGACAGAACCCATGGGTTATTTACACATAACAGGATTCGTTTCTTTTACAGGACTGCACTAAGCTCTCCGATAATAAGGTGTAACTCGGCCAAAAGTTACAGAGCTTATATTAGACCATGGGTTCCCTTTCTTTGGAATACGGAAAGGTGTCATGTCCCTTGAGCTAACCCTTGACCCA